TGTAAAAGGTCATACCTTTGAGCAAATTACTTCTAAAACTCCAATCTTGCTTTTTTTTTTTTTTGATAAAGTGTACAGCAGAAGTCTTACGCTTGTTATGTGGCTTATTTTTTTTTTTTTTTTGATTAGTAATCCAAATCTCCCTTCTGCGGCTCAAGAAAGTACCTTTTTTTTTTTTTTATTGATTGTAATTTAATTAGAACTGAGTGTACCCCACCTAAAGGTTTTTTTTTTTTTTGTAACCAATTAGCGCAATCTTTTTGTGCGGGAGCTATTACTGATCCGTAAATCACACTTTTGTATGGGCCGGTTATCCACCGGTTTTGAATGCCATTGTACCTTTTTTTTTTTTTTTAAAATTTAGGCTTTCTGAGTTAGGGTTCGAATCGATGTCATTTGAGAAGTTCAGAGGGTTCCAAAGAAAACAAATATCATATACTTGCTAAAGGCCTTGCATTTTTTTTTTTTTTGAACCTCTACAAATTCATTCAACAGAGAAGAAAGGAAGAGTGTATTTTTTTTTTTTTTAGCTGTTTACGTTTTTGTTCTAAAATGAAAAGCACCGATTTAGGTCCCCCACAGAAGTGCATAATTACAGTAGAAAAGAATCCTTATTGGAAGCCATTACTCGCTTTTCAAAACATTTAGCTTATTTTTTTATCCCTTGTAATGGGAATGGAGTATGGAGAGCGAATATTCATCTTAGAAGGGCTTGGAAATATAGGGATGTTTTGTAAACATTTTGAATTTAAGCTCCCTTGTATACATTCTTTTGTTATTTCCATGGCCATGGCCTTTCTTGACGGAACAGTGAAGAAACAAAATGTCCCGTCACGTTTTCTCACCTTTTATTAGCGACCTCTTTTTTTTTTTTTTATTATAATAATTGGAATAGTGTACACAAAACTTTACGGTGGAGGTTTTTTTTTTTTTTTTTAGTGTGCTAGTTAATTTTCTTGTACATTTCATACGGTCTTCGCTCAAAAACGCTTTGTGTTAAGTTAATATTCTAGTCCAATTTCTAAGCACATGTTAATAGGTTTAAGAAGCGTGTCGGCCACTCCAACATTACTCACGTCCATTACTGGCTTTACAGAGAACTAGTTGTCGTTGCATCGAAGCTCACAAGCTTTGAGCTCTACTACTTATCTTTTATTATTCGTATAAAAAGAAACTGTCAAAGCTGCTCAAAGGCTCAACGTCACTGCCTTTTTTTTTTTTTTTGCCTTAAAGGTTTTAAAAATATTCAAAGGATTGCGATAATCTCATTTTTTTTTTTTTTAGGGGAGGGTGTGAAAATCCACGGAGTGATTTCTGCTTCAAATTTTTTTTTTTTTTTTCGGGGGGGAAGGCTTTCCTGTTGGTGAATCGTATCTTTAGATCATTTTTTTTTTTTTTACCCTGGTAAACGGCATATCCGTGAAGTGCCGATCACGTAAATTACCAAGGCCATACATTGTATCTCACTGACCACATCGGATTAATCTGTTAACTTCTTGTTTTTTTTTTTTTTTTGAAGCAAAACCACGTGGAACTCAGTAGGCTTGCCCACAGTGATTTTTTTTTTTTTTTTTTTAATCCAAATGTGAACAAAAAAAGTAGCCATTCACTTTCTATTTTTTTTTTTTTTTATATTTATGTTCATTTTGTGGAGGAGAATCGTAACCAGTGACCAGTTTAGCTTATTTTCTTGCTTCTGAGAGCTTTGGCTAGGTTATTCTTCACAAGATCTTCATTAACTTGTTCTGTATTTGTAGGCTAAAGCGATGGAAAAGTGAACTGGAATATGTTTTTTTTTTTTTTTGGATGAAAGAAGTACTTAGAGGCCCAGGCCTGCGATCATGGCAATTTTTTTTTTTTTTAGAACTGCTTTTCTTTTCAGTGGGAAAAGCAGGTATCGCATAGCTCCAGAAAACTAAACCCAACATATTAATCTCAGTAATTATTCTTGCTAGTTTTAGAATTAGGATGGCGAAGTCCTTTGATGTTCTTAAATGATGGTCTGTGGTATTTTTGTTCGAATTTTTTTTTTTTTTGAAGTCTGTCTTGAAGATGGTGAGACGGACGGGCAGCTTATTGTTTTTTTTTTTTTTTATTAAACCCAATTGTTATTTATTGTTTTTTTAGAGAAGTCTGAGTTTTTTTTTTTTTTCACAGAAGGGAAGGGGTTGGTCCATTTTGCAACTACACAATTTGCTTTAATAACAATATCAATGTTCTTGGGCAAATATTGAAACACAAATATGACAGAGAGGAAGCTATTACAAAAGTTACGAGCAAACAAAACGAATTGTACGAACATTTCAAAATTTTTTTTTTTTTTTTTAATACATCAGAAAATTACTCATTGTAATTTACTGGTAAAATAAATTTTTTTTTTTTTTGAAGAATTTACTTCTTGATGGTGGAACATTAACTTTGCTCGTATTTATTATGGCTTGAAGAAATCAAATGAACATTCACCTTGGTCACATTTTAAATGTCAGGTTGCTTGATCATCAGAAATTGCTGTTTTCCGTTAACTTTTTCTTGAACTCCTAAAAAAGGTATTATGATATATGATGTGGGATCGTTTGGGGTGACCATATCGGTTCTCCCCCATTTTTTTTTTTTTTTTGCACTGATGAGGCCCAGAAGGCCGAAACAGTACTGTCTGCAGTTTTTTTTTTTTTTTATAGATATATTATTATTATTATTATTATTATATATGTATATGTATTTTTTTTTTTTTTTACGTCCTCTTTGATTATTTATACGTCCTCGATAATTTTATACGTTTTTTTTTTTTTTATCATACGTCCTCTTTGATTCTTCAACTAATGTATACCCAGCTCTTTTTTTTTTTTTTTGAGCACTTTATGCCAAGGTAGGCTCTACCCTCACATTTATATGTTTTTTTTTTTTTTTATATGTATATATGTATATATGTATGTGTATATAACAAGTTAATTTTTTTTTTTTTTTCCCCTAAGGCACTCTATTGGTTTCATGGGATGTTGTCTCAATGTTTTTTTTTTTTTTTAATCAACTCGGTCTTACCGCAGTGAAGAGGGCTCTGAATGCCAGTTTTTTTTTTTTTTCATCCACTAATTGCATTTTAGAAGCGGTTAAAATTTGTTTGAAGTTTTTTTTTTTTTTTTTCAGAGAAAAATTCTTCATACAGGTTCATGGCACAGCCATGGTTTTTTTTTTTTTTTGCAGTTATGCAGACCTTGCCATGGGTGAAATAGATCTTCAGGCTTTTTTTTTTTTTTACATAAAGCCGGCTTTGTGGTGGCGATACCGTAATGATGTTTTTTTTTTTTTTTTTTTAGGCCTTCCGGCACTGTATGAGTTTACTGAATTTATAAACTCTTTTTTTTTTTTTTTTAAATTCGAATTAGTTTTTTCCGAACGAGAGCTCCATGTGCTAGATTTTTTTTTTTTTTTTATCTAGGGTTTTATTAGGACAGACGTTTAGGACAGACGTTTATTTTTTTTTTTTTTATAGTCACCTGTANTACATTTAATCCTAACTTGCCCGACGTAGGCAACATAATCAGAAAGCATTTGTTTATTTTGCAATCTAACCCCAAATTGAAAGAACTTTTTCCTCGAAGTTCTATCATACCATCTTTTCGTCGATCGAAAAATCTCAAAGAATTGTTAGCACCATCTCGTTTTAAAACTGCCAGCGAGAGACAAACCATTCCTCATAACAATGGCTGCTTTAAATGCGATAGGAAAAGATGCGACCTCTGTCAGAATTTCTTTGTTGAATCTAAATCATTTCTCAGCTTTCAGACGGGCAAAAATTACACCATTCACTCTAGACTTTCCTGTGACTCTAAAAATGTGATTTACTTGGCTTCCTGTAAGAAATGTCGCCTGCAATACGTGGGATCTACTACCACCGACTTTAAAGTGAGATTTCGAAATCACAAATCTACTATGCTCACAAACAAAACAACTTGTGAAGTAGCGATACACTTCAACAAAACCCCACACACCCTGGACGATTTTTCGTTCCAATGCATTGATCAGGTACAGGCCCCTAGTGGCTCTGCAGAGATCGATAGGCTTTTAATCACAAAAGAGGCTTATTGGAGTGCTCAGTTGTTCTCTTTGGCACCCCATGGTTTGAATAAAAGAAAGGAATTTCATTCGAAAAATAGAATTTGCTATAATTAATTTTCCATCTTATATTAGGCGCTACTAATTGATCGTTCAAAGGCCCTTTTCTTGGATTTTGTCGGCCCTTTAGGTGTGGATTGGACTCAGAGGCCCTGCCAAGGGATCTTATTATGATTAGTATCATTTAAGGGCCCCTCCAGGGATTTTGTTGCTAATTTGCCCTTTCGGGCTCCAAAGGCCTTGTTTTGGGATTTTGTTATGGTTTACAGTTGTAGTTAAAAGTGGGCCTCCCCTTTTCTAATGCTTGCCGCATTGCTTCTTTGCAATTGGTTACGCCACTCATTTTATCATATTTAGTATTCTTATCTCTTAGTTTTTAGGGTTTGTTTCTTGTATTTTGTCCATTGCTTTCTTTGTAATTAGGTTTTTTGTTATCTTTTTGTTAACACCAGTTCATTGGTCGTTATCTGTAATTACGTAATCATTAGCACTTCGGTCCTATTTAATCCTCTTTTTTTTATTTCAAAAGTTGTAAAGAACTGAAGAAGTTCTCTGGCCGAAACGGTTTTTATTAAAAATTTTTTATATTTTTGACGTCAGGAGTTGTCCATCTTAGCAATTTTTAAACTTTCTACGTAGATATATATATATATGTATAGCGGTTATAAATTAATGACAGGAAGATCATTTCACCCTTACTCTGAGTTTCACGCTGCTTGCGCTGCGATCATCAGACGGTTTTTCGTCTGACGATTGCAGCGCAAGCTGCGTGAAACTCAGAGTAATGGTGGAACGATCTTCCTGTCATTAATTTATAACCGCTATTGAAGCGCTCTGCAACCCGCATCGTGCACTTTTTCACAGACTAGGGGAGAAACAGACTATATATATATATATGTATATGTATGTATCATTTGTAAAAAGCACTTTCGTCGGGTTCTAAACGAACTTCCAAGAAGGTGCAAGCAGAGGTAACATTGTTGTGATTGGCGGTAAGGGAAGCATCTTGTCTTGATTTTGCCCACTATTTGAAGGGGCGTCTCCTTGTGACGAGAAAGCTGGTGTGAACGGTAAACTTGATGAACGAGTCAAATAAAATCGCATTCGTGAGTCCTTGAAGTCTTTTCTTCTGTTGACAGGGATGACAGGACTAGTCTTTTGCTTCCTGAACTTTGCTCTCCTGTTTTTAAACCAAATCTGTAAAACGATGTTGGATAATAGCTTCGTTCAGGAGATCATCATCTTGCTCAGAAAGGATACCTAGTATGTCATTCCTTCCTATCATATAATAACTTACCCATCAATTCGATGGCCTGATGCACAACATCTCAGGAGTTTGAGTGTAATCCTCCATCATTTTACATAAGCAATATTTCTTTGCTTCGTGTTTGCTTGATTATTTCATAGACTGTTCACAAACCTTACTTATCGTACTCATGAGCAGGTATGTTCTGCGGGAATTATATCGCACATGTTGCTTCACCTGGATAAGGTGAATACCCTTTGCAAATAGCCATCCAAAAAAAGTAAGAAAAGATACAGAATGGTTGAAAAAACGTAACTTAAGCCGAATGGTAGAAATCTGAAATGTAGCGAGCCAACTAAAAGTGTACGTTCAAGTAATGACTCAGTCATGTCTGTCTAATTGCTATTAGAAAAAGTCAGTGTTGGCGAAAGAAATAACTATTACCTGTATTGTAGAGTCTGGCAAGCTGGTCCACATGATTAACTGTTCCCTCATCACAACGTCAGGGTAGTGAGTGTGTGTAAACGTACTCTCCAAGGTCTTCAGTTGATATTGGGTGAACGCCGTGCGTGTCCGCCGTCGTTTCTGACTTGCGCCTTCTGCGTTATTCTTGGCGTCCATAATCACATCTGAGCATGGAAATAGAACGTTACTGAGATAATGTTATGCGCTAAGCAGGTTTTATTGAAAATCGCTTTGATTAAAGTTTGCTTAAATACATATTCATAGCACTATGACTGTCGTGCTTGATAAACGTCAAAACTGACCACTTACAAAGAGCAACTGATTATCTTCGCATATACTGCACAGGGGACCTTTTCAAAGTCCAAGCAGCATGCGAAAACCACACACTTTACTAAACAATTAAAGCAAGTGCACAACCTTTAGTTGTTGTTTTTTTAATCATCTTTTTTGTGCTGTATTATCTCACTGATTTAGTATATCCTAAAACAACGTTTTACTTGAGTGTCGGTGGTTAAGAGTGGATAAATAGCCATCGGTAAATAATTGTCATTAGGGTAGTTCCGAGTTTCTGCACGCAAAAAACGACGCAAAAATAAAAGCGTTACCGGTGCAATCGTGAACAGAGTGAGCTTATTTTACTAGTCACCAGATGCACTCACAAGGTGTAAATTTAGTGAGGGAGAGAGCCTTTTGAACGATAGCGATATAAGGGCTGTGGTGCAAGGTATCATTTATTTTTTTAACTTTTGATATGATTTGCTTTACTGTTTCCATACGTTCAATACCTCACCATCTGTAATATTTTATGCAGAAAGTTAATCCGTCTGAGCTATATGTAGAATGAAATGGTGCTAAAATCGCTGACAATTTTCGAGCTGTTTAGTTGGCTTTCTTTTGTCGGATCTACTATACGAAATTCCAAAATTCCTGGTTGATATGTTCTGTGGAACAAAAGCCTTGATTTCTGTCATCGTTAAGCATCTTAGCATGGAACATGGAATGTAAAATGGAAATGGTTGCTCCGGCACTTTCAATTTCTTTCACTAGCTAAAATCAAGAGACAACATAAAGAAATGTGCCACAAATAATTTCAAATGCCACAAATAATTTCAAAAAATGATTTCTTATTTTATTTAAATCCAACTGCAGACGATAAATGAGACGCTTAGTTATCTTCAAATTATCTTCCACTTAGTGAAGAATTTCGGCGCCTTCTCCATTTCAAGGAAAAACTCGTTTGCGGGAGGATTACAAATTATGTTTTTATCTCAGCTAATGATCGGCGATGGCTGCGCGTTGGACAATTGGTGAGTAAATGAAACAAAATAAAGAAGGCTTCTAATGTGGTACACCAAGATTGACGGTTATCAGTACAGAAAGGCTCTAAGCAATTAATAATCCTTTGACAGGATATGGCCTCAGTGGAATGTGACCGGTACTATTGTCATGGAGGAGATTAATTCGGTTATGTTGTTGAAAGGATTTCTGACTGATTCTCCTGTAATAAAAAAGTCAATTTAATCGAATATCCCTCAAAAACAATAGCATCCCGGTGCTAAAGAGCGATATCTGAAGTACCGGCTGAATCCAACAATGGAAGAATTTATCATTTTAACTCAGAACACTGAGGTACACATTGAAAACAGAAATGAATAACACTGTAGGTTGATGAAAGTTCTCTATACTTAGGTTCGAGGTGAAGTGTTGCTTACCGATGTAAACTGTCGTGCCCGTGAAGTTAAGCGACTGAGCATTTACTGGATAAATGTGATATGTATGAATGCTGATGTCTAGCCTTTTTTTAAAGAATGCCATACTGAGGAATTTTTTAGTCGTTGCTCCCACAAAATAGGATAAGTACTGAAGACACACATTATGGAGACATTTGAGTGAGAGTTTAACTTTTTCGATCACTATGTACGTAACGGTTATATTTTCCGACTCGCTTCCCTTATCACTCGAACTTCGTATTTCAGTATTAGCTGAGAAAAAATGGTTTGTTACTCTTCGTAAGCTCACGTATCAACTCGAATTACTTTTGTTACCATAAGACGGCTCCAAGTGGTCTCTTGATCACTGTTTTCACCAATTACTAGTCATCAGAAACCATATTCGTAGAACATACAAGTATTTAGATGGATGTTGCAAACAGATCTCAAAGAAGATCAACTCACGTTTAAGATGTCAGCTCTATAGTGCTTAAAACCTAAAGTTTACCTCCATTTTAGGCTGCAAAATCAATATCGACGTTTTTTAATAATGGGTGTCTGGTTTGAACGAAACTGAAGGGCACTAAGTCTCACGAGTACAAACCCTTCTCAAAATCGTCCCTGCTTGGAGTGTCTTTTCATCAGATGCTTTACCCTTTCAGCAGCTTGTATGTAGCTTATTGGAATTCTTTACTCACTAATCTCGCTTAATGCCCTTAACCACAACTATTTTTTACCAACCTGCAAGTCGTTCAGCAAGAGTCTAAGCTTTTCTAGCGCTGCTGTTAGATCGGCCTTTCTTTTTCGCCCCTTTAGATAGATCGTTCTTTAAGATGTTTGCCACAGAAAATGGAAGTGCTTCCACTGACTCCCCCATGAACACCTTCGAACAAACACGCCACTGCACTCCTTCTTTTGTCCGCTGAACTAACTGAAGCCGATCTCTTGAACAATTTCCTCACTTTCCTCCACGCTTTCAAGGTGATGCGTAACTCACAGTTTAGTGTGGCTTACTGCTAAGCCCTCAACACATGTTAAATCAGTTACCTTCGGCTTAGAGTAAGCCGAGAATGCTATCCAATAATTTGTTTGTTCCTCTGGCATGATGTCAATAGGATGATGGAAGATTTGATTGTAACATGTAACATGTGAAGAAGTCTAGTTTATCAATTTCTTCCAAAGCTTCACCCTTGACTCAAAGACAAATATTTTTTTCGCAATATTGACGACAAAGGCCTTTTTGGATTGTGGGAGACATGTATTCATACATTTAGCTGTAGCATTAGTTTGTAGTTTTTCATTAAGGTTTCGGACCGAGGGCCAAAGTTGTTTGCCTCAATTGATTTTCAGCTGTTATCTGCCTCGACCCTTGCTATCTGTTGTTTTATGAAGTTATCGCCGTGTGTGAGCTGCATGTTTTACCGACAGGGTAAATGGAGCCGTTTAGAGCTTTTTTTCTCATTTAAAAAGCAATTTATCATTTTCTGTCAAGACTGCATTGACAAAAAAATATCAGTATTTGATTGCTGATAGGCCACTCCTATGTCAATGTAGATGGTGCATTACAACCAGTTACAGGGATGTTATTTATTTTAGCGTCAGCACTAATGAATTCTCCATCTTCCCCCTTCGTGAAACAGGTAGCGTCCTCGCTTCATCAAGGCTTCATCAGTGGAGGTGGCCTTATACCAAAGTGAATATGCACGGGGAAGTCTGAGGATAAAGTAAGCGGCTGGTGATTTGGCTTACAAAGACGAAGAATAGAGGTAATGAACATAACTGAAATCAGCTTATCCTTGAACAATGCATTTTAAATTTAGAGGGGAATGTCATGGCCTAAATAGAGTAGAAAATTATTTTCAACAAAACAATTCTCGAACAGTCCGAGAACCAGACGAATAGTTTAACATTTCTTTGAAATTGAGAAATAAGATTAAAATTAAATATTTTTGTTAGCCCTGAACACATTTCTAAAGATCTATCATTTCGACAATAATGATGCAAGTATACTTCTTGTTAAAAAAAAAAAAAAAAAACATATTTACCTGTGAAGTATGCATGGCCCGCAGAGTTCTTGGATAATTACGCTATATGTCCATAGCCAGAAGCCTTATTCAATTCTTATAGGCCGTGTGTCACCACAAAAAAACGATCCGAGAGTGAGCGAAGTCCTTTACTACTTCAGCAGATGTTGCTAAACCGAGGCACCCAAAACCAACGTTACGTTATGTTAACTAAACCCCGGTGAACTATCCTACTTGTAACAAGTTTTAAGAGTTACGACTGCAATATGAATTTATGAGAATACAAGAAAATTAGCAAGTAGAATTTTAATATGGATATCCTTGTTTCGTATATGTTACATTGTATACGTTGTGTTTTGTTTTTAGTCAATACCAGGCCTTTAAACGAATAACTGTGATAAAATGTACTTAATTCAGGCAAGCAGTCTTAATTAGCTTCCAAACGGCTTTGTCCCTCTCAAAAAGAGGTCTTGGTTCAAGTCCCACCTGTTTAAGGATATAATTTGGATATATCAACAAAGTTGAAATGGTAAATTGGCCACCGTAATGATTACAAAAGCTGACGTTTCGAGCGTTAGCCCTTCGTCGGAGAATAAGGATAGTTTACCTCCTTCGTCGGAGGTTAAGGATAGTTTATCCCGGTAGAGTGTAGCCATAGAGGTCTGCTTTGTTAAAGGTTTTTATTGTTATTACTATTATTGCTATTATTATTATCGTTTTTATTACTAGAATCATTCATTAGCGTTGGTTAGGTGAAACCTTTGCTCTTTCACCGGCGATTGTTAAATAAATGCCATAGACGATATAGAAGGAATAAGTTTTTCCTCAAACAAAGACGTTGGAAGTCTGCGTGAATCCAAAAGTAAAGGTTCGATGGTATCATAGCAGAAAGTCAGGGAACAAGACCGTTTTTACATCCGGTTGTATTTACATATAACCCTCGGGGATACAGGAGTCGTTTAGTGGGCAGTGAAAACCCCGGTGGCTATTTTCCACCACATGCTTATGGGCGTAAGCTGGACCCACGAGAAATGCTGGCCTCTCTTGATTTGATAACCCAATTGACGAATCTAATATAGAGGCAGAGTCTCTTTGAAATGCCTGGTATGATGTATGGTAGGATGGAGATGATGAACAGATGTTGCAACTTGTCTCACTTCGTCTGTACTTTGCTCTTCTGTTCTTAAACCAAATCTGTAAATAGAAAGAAACGTTGCGATGTAACACAGCAGCTAAGAGGCTTTCCTACGCTTGATATAACTTAGGTGGTTGGACGCTATGAAAAGTTATTTTTGAAAGCTGCCAGGGGCCTCGAGACTTCTGTGAGAGACTGGAAGTTTTGCTGATGAGCATGACTTCTAACTCACGTGAATACTTTTACACAACTCTATGTCTATCATTACAGCAAACTGCAAAGTCGCACTTCTCTCGACTCAATCAACTGGCATTGTGGCACATACCTGCTATAGTAAGGATATATAAGTAGATTACAGTGGTACAAAGCCTGTATAGCACAAATTCTTAAAGCAACAATTTGGCTGGGTCATTTGACCCTGACAAAAATTGAAGTGAGTCGAATATACCTGTATTCGTGATTCTGGTAGCTTTGTACTTGTTGCGAGCTCCTCCCGCAGAGCGATATCTGGATAATGGGTTTTGGAAAACGTATCTTCTAGAATTCGAAGCTGGTAACGTGTGAAGTTGGTTCGTGAGCGACGTAGCTGTGTCGTGGAGGAACCTTGCCGGGCTTCCAGAATTATATCTGAAACAACAACAAAATTGGATTAAGACTCCGTAATCTGAGCAAAAAGATGTTTATTTTCTTTCATATTAGTTCAGATATCTTTGTGGAATGTGCTTTATTCTCTCTCCATGTCTAGTAATTGCCTGAAAGGAATTTTTGGGTTAACGAGTACTGCTTCGAACTCATTTCAGGAGATTGGACTCCTCCGTAGCTATCATTGTTTTATTCTGAGTTACTGACTAGATGTGACATCTAAACTTCAGCAATTCGTATGAATTTTGATATTATAATTCTCTAAGTACTGTAATGGTAGGTGATCTCAACTAGTTCCTGCAAGTTTACTTTAGTTATTTAAATCCCTAAAATTTATTGTTTGCAAAATGGATTAGCATATTTACATAGCAAAAAAAATAATATTTCCACACGCCATCTTTGTTTCAGATTTTCCATATTATATATGAAATGAGATGAAATTAGCGATGAAATCAGTATTCTAGTTATATCAGACATATCAGCATATCGAATAGGCCTAACCAGTTGTAGTTTCATCGAATGGGAGTGAGTATTATTTACGGCTGGGAAGATTTGGCTAAAAGAAGGCAAACAGTTCAATGTATCCAACAATACATGCCTGTACACGTCAAAGGGGTCTCTTGAAAGTAAAAATTAGAAGTTGTTCTGTCGCATTAGAATTGAATTATCTGTTTGTTTCCTCTCTTCTTAATAAATCAATGAGTTACTAAGAATTTCTCATGATCACGAAGCACCCTAGTGCATTTATGGTGTCCTTGTCCGTCGTAGACAAAGTTCGTTGGAGTATAGCATTCGGTAACCACAGAGAAGCGATTACTTTGCTGCAGATCTTTTACCCGTGATAACCAAATGTAAACCCTTTGCTGTAGATCCAAAAATGTTTCGTCATTTAATTCCATGAGTCAGCACACGAGTCAGTAAGTTTTTATTTACTCACGACATTGTTATTCAAAATTGTGATAAGCAAATTTACTCTTACATCCTACGACTCCCACCTTTAGGAAAACCACAGCCTCCACGTCAACTAAATGTCCAGTTGATTGAAATAATGTTATCATCGTATTGAGTGAAGTCTCCGCATCCCCACGGAAATAAACGAATCGTACTGACTATATACTTTCAAGAGCAAAAGTGACCAATACAAAGATGCACAAAACAACTCTTGTCGAATTGGTATACTCGAAGTTATCATTCTCAATCTTAGATGTAAATGCCTTTCTTGCAATTTCCAGATCTTGATCTTAACTGTTTCTTACGACTCCTAGGTAGCAAATCCAACACAGTTCCGATTGTCATATCAATTGGTGGATTAAAAGCTAATTGTAACTAACTGGGAGGTAAAACTTAACTTTTTGTGGCGGTGACCAACTGACAGTTGATTATATTTTATGTGAGTTCGAATGATTTTTAAATTTCTTATAAATAATCGTTCTTACCGAGCGAAAGATGATAAATTTATTTTACGTGATTTGTTTGAAAATGTCCAAGCTTCGTGCTGTTAGAAATCATAAACAAAGGAAAACCTAAAATCAATTGTTTGTTATTGTTAAATGAAACTCGTGAACGTGTCGTTGGAAATCCTTCTATGATAGAGGACCAGACTACTAACTTGTTTAACTTTGCGAACGTGAATTTTCGCGTGATGCTTTTTGCTTGAAAATTCCGAAAGGCATGCCGCTGATCGATGATCCTCTTGGCCGAGACAAAACGGCGCCTCATACCAACTAAGAGCTGTTTTCCGCAAGTGCTTTGAAAACACACCAATACTAAGTATAATTCGCTATTAAAAACATACTTTTTTTTAAAGTTGGGCTGCGCTTTCTATAAAATTGTTATTCTGTGAGATCCATAGTATTGCCTCTTCAAAAGGAATATCAGCAGGCAATTTAATAATGTGGAAACATGGCGGTGCAGCACAGAATATTGTTTGAAGCTGAAGTTCTATAACTAACATTCGAGTTTCTATCCAAAGTTTACAATTAGATGCTGAGCAACCATTTCATAGTCTGCAAAAAAAAAACTGGAAAGAATTGGTGGGACTGGACTGAAAGCAATCATTCAAAGAAAGGAAAGAACCTTCCTCATGATAACCATGATTCTCTTAACTCGAGAGCTTGTTGACCAGTAAACTGAAATGGATCGAAATTCTTCAAATACTGGCAAGTAAACACTTACTGAGACAAAGCGAAAAACAAAACAAACCTGCGAGCTGGGCTGCCACTGAAAGGGCTTTGATCTTGGATGGAGCTTCACCACGAAATTCTTGTAGTCTTGTAGCAAATTTATCGGGCTTCAATATATTTTCCATCATAAATGAAGATGATTTCCTATCATTCAACTTTTCTCTGCCAGATTCCACAGCTTGTTCAGGGAGGGTTTTATGATTCATGTTGCCTGGCCCGGAATCAGTGGAGATGACTGGAGTAAAGTGCTGTTTTCGAAAGCTATATCAAGAGAGTGAGGCGTCAGTGAAATTCATTCCTGAAAATGCCAATCACTGACAGAAACATCTGGTAACCGCATTTATCCTAACCATGAACAACTTCGGATTTGTATCTGTACTTTTTCCGTCGTTTCAGGAAAAATTTTTTGATTACACCTCTAGTGCAGCAGCTAAATTTCGCATACTAATCTTTTGCAATTCGACCACATCGCATGCATTCTTATCAGATGTAAACAAACTTCACCCGATTTGGTGGAACTTGAGTGCTGTTTTTAGCTGTTTAGAAAACCCCATGGATTGTTGTCATTTCCTTCAATGATTCGCCGTCATATTTTGTCTTTGCTTAATAACTTCAAGTTCTAAGGCATGGAACTTTTCATTTTTCAGTAAGAACCTTTGCAGCTCGTTTTAAAGTTGGAGATACCGTTACGTGTTTTGTGACTTCATAACTGTTTAACTTGCGGCTCAAATCTGTTTTGTAGTTCTGTTTGGGGGATTTATCGTACGTAACATTGTTCTCTAGAAATTCAAGACCTCTTCGAACATTTTCTTTAGGACAGCGTTGATAGTCTCGTTGAGAAGCCTAACGTAAATTTCGTTTTCTATTGCCACTTCAGTTTGTCAAAGATGATAAATTGAACTTTGATTGTAACACAAGAGGGGAAGTTTTGCTTGTATTTCGAAACAGCTTTGTTCCGACTAATGCAAACTCTTACAATTAACGATTTGCTGCAGATTTTTACCATTCCAAGCGTTTCGTCTCTATCACCTTCACATCTTCCTATGATAACGAAACAGTTAAGCGACTGATTGTCGTGGTTTCCAAAGTGGGATTTTAGTATCGTGTCCCAAGCATTAAGATGAATGGGCTTTTTACTGGCGACGACAAGTTGATTTAATTACTGTCAATAAGGCGAATAGTTTTTAATTAAACGTCGGTTAAAGACTACCGGCAGTCGAGACAGATAAGCTACCACCGCTTTGCTGATTTGCTATTTCATTTAATATTTCATATCGAGTGAGCTATTATGCACGTTATTTACGTCACAAACGTGTAATCAAACACAACAGAGATATCAAAATTACGCTCTCATTTATTCGGAGATGTAGTAGATTGAAGACTATTCCAGCTTTTAAACAATAATGCTAAATTCAACAAACTGTGCAGTGACTAATTTGATATTCTCTGTAGATCTTGAACTATGAATTACGATAATATTTGAATTGATCAAAAGCAGAGTGGGCGTGGTTGGTGCAGTTAACTGTTTTAAAAACCGGCTAAGAAAATTTTAAGCTGATGGGGCTTCATTATTCTTCGCTTAAGCTATTATTTTTTAAATTTTTTTTTATCCCTCTTTTAATTTTCGTACAACTTAGAGCATGTACAATCAATTTTGATTTCTTTCTTCCCATGCTTCTTGCATCTAATTTAAAATTTGCTTCCATATATGAGCTCCCATATGATATGTTCTATCAGAATCTGACATCTGGTTTACTTCTGAGATAACAGTCTTTGTGGAGTAGGTAAACCGTTCCTGAAGGCAATTTGATCTCTGAATCAGAAGGTTATTATTTGCTTTTGAAAAGCCGTCTGCCAATACCATGGCTCAACGTTTGCATATGTTGAAAAAAATTTCTTCGACACCTTGCACTTTTCCTACCCTTACTGTCATCATAGGTGAAACAAATAGCCAGGCCTGTGACGAAACTATACTTTTTATATCTATTATCCGAACCGCCCCTATTTCACATACCTTTGGATTTGATTTTTGCTTTATGCTGATGACTGGAGATTACTATATGCCTTTATGCAATACCGCACACAAGTTGACAAACCTTCCTAAGTTTCCAAAATTTGATAAATTTTGATTACTGAATGCCGATTACTATATAATTTTGCAAGATTCCATGAAACAGCAACGATAACAAATATGCAGAATTTCTGTTAGAGAATATGACATGTATTGAGGCCACACACAGTGAAAACACCCAAAGCATTGGCTGCAACGACGGAATGAGAACGGAGGGATGTTTGATAGCTCTACATGTTTTTCTGTCTGTGTACCATCGTGAAAAGAAATAGAAATAGACATTTTTAATGAAAGAAAAACAGAGATAAAGAACAAATCCCAAGGTTATCAGCACATCAAAAATACTAGAATTCTCCCGTATTATACAAAACCATTATCCTGTCATCACAAGGATTTTGATGGATGATAATTTAATTTGAGCAGGAAACTATCGCTATTTACTTTAGGCAGCAATTAAGGTAGTTGAGGAAAACTTTGATGGAAAATTTGTGCGAGTGTTGTGGTTATTATTGTAACTGATCAAGGAACAAGGTTCAGCCTCATACTATCAAAGGAAGGAATGCTTTTTCTCATACTACAACGTAACTGTGGTTTCCTCGAAGAAATCTTAATTAACTTGCTGTAGCATTCATCTTTGTTTTCCTAATACAGAGATCGGGGTTAGGAAACTAAAGATGATCTTGCTAACACCAAATCCATCTTGAGGGGAGGGTAAAATGCTCCTAAGCTCCTAGCTCCGATAAACAATAGTGGATCATTGCGAACTTTTTTTGACGCTTCTGATTACAACACTCGGATTTGAACCATGAATTTTGTTAGGGGTTTTGACTATCGCAAAGTAGCGAGGACCACACAGAACCTAAATTGCCGTGATCTCGTTTGATCTTCCGAAAGAGTTACGAGATAAGGAGGAACCCCGGTGTGTCTACCTGTGCTGAGGCAAAATGGTCAAGGATCCAAACCTCATGACATCAGCTTATCAAATATGCATACTTAGAGATGCTACAATTTCCCCCAGGCCAACAACCATTAAAAGTCTTTGGGTTGCTTTCACTGTGAGCTGATACATAAAAATCACCCGGAATCCGTGCTAATCTCGACTTGTATATCTAGCGGCTTCCTTTGCTAAAATTAATCTTTGGTACACTGCTTTTAGCAAAATAAAAATTGTCATTTCCTAAAATTATAAACCGATCCTTAGACGGTGACTGTAATGTAAATAATTTAGATAAGCAAAACCACACTACTGTTCGATGCATAATCACCTCTCCGTTGGAATGCCTGATTTCACTCCAAGTTTTATCTGCATAAGCTGGAAGCACCTTGTATACCAAGATAAATACCAGATGTAGAAACTGATAAATTGTTTGTTTGCGCCTTTAACTTCTCGCGAGAAACTACACTGAACCTATGCATGTTCCATAGAAAGATTGAGATTCATCAGCTGTAAGTTTGTTTTTGGGAGCCAGAGTCATAACCATTGTAAAAATTTATATTGCGATTGTCAGTTTGAGTCAACCAGCTCCAATTCGGTGAAGAACTGACATGAAGGCGACATTTGGTACAATGAAGACGTAACATTGGATCTCAACCTAAACTTTGTTCCACGCTTCAGTACTTATTTCAGGTTATTCAAACAACTTTCAAAATGGCAACCAGACAAAGGTGAGAAAGAGATGAAGAAACGACAAGCCTCTGGTAAGGACATCGCAAGAACGTAGATTGTGATTTCCACGAGGCGGGACGATATTATGGACTTAGCTCAAATTAGGAAACACCTCCTGCGTTTGCGCCAAGTTTAAGGTTCTGACGGAAAACCTGAACCGAAAAGATTTTGTAATCAGCACTTTTGATGCCTTGTCTCTACTATTTTTATCTTTATTCTTTTAAAATGCTTTTTTTTTCGATATTAATTGCTACAGGAAAACTCGGTAATTTTTTAATCATTTATTGGATCTTTCACTGAAAAATGGGAGTCTCTTTGTACCTTAGCTAATTAACTAGGCATATTGGACAAATATCATGTACATTGCCAGGATTTAAAAGTCTAAGTGAAAGGTTTGCACAATTTTTGAAATGAAGATACTGTGTTTTTTAAGCCTGTTAATATCAAGAAAAGTAGATCATATATTGGAACTCTGATAAATAGAAAGGCTTATGTTCAGCACGACAACACATTTAAACATTGAATAAAGGCTGAAAGTTTCTAAAGAAACTGTGGTGGTGCGTCGGTGGGGGTAACAAGGTAATTTAGTTATATCAACTAAGTTGAAATTGTAAATTGGCCGCCGTAACGAATAAAAAAGCTGACGTTTCGAGTGTTAGCCCTTAGTCATTCGCTCTCATGGCTGACGAAGGGCTAACGCTCGAAACGTCAGCCTTTTTATTCGTAACGGTGGCCAATTTACAATTTCAACTTAGTTGATATTACCAAATTACATTTAAACATTGGTTTGGAGATACCGTTAGATCATATGTTTTGGAATCCTTCTAAAATAGTCCATATTTATTATTTACCGAGGAAAAAAGATAAGAAAATACCAATTTTTCAGGCATGACAAGATTAATGAGTTATTTTCTTCTCCATAAGCAATTTGAAATTGTAGTTCTCACGCTTTTGCTTGTTTGAGAGGAAACCGTCCGTTGCGCTTTTATTTTCGTAGATCTAAAAGTGGAACGGCCTCCGGGTAATTCTTTCGAACCTGTTGTATGATACACGCCTCAGGAAAGTTTCAAGCTCACAATTGTGCGCCACATTTGATTAGTGTGGAATTTTTAACATAGCCAAAATAAAACGTGAATTTTAATTTTGACTTTAACAAAAGATGTCGAAAAGTTAGGAATTAGCCTGTAATTGAACAATATCTAAGGTGTCGAGCGGAGGAAAGTACTCTTCGCGTTCTCAGGTGAACAAGGAAGGAGATAGCTTGCCTAGGTAATGTAGTTTTCAATCACCTGCTCATAAGTTAATAATGGGTTAACCTCCTTAGAGTAACTAGTAATTTAAAAAAATTGATTTGAATTAGCCCGCGACAATAAAATCTCTCTTTGTTCGCTGCCAAAAGAAAACGAACCAATACAAAAAATAAACAAACATGAAGAAAAAAATTAAATATGGAAAATACTTTCTTGAAAGGAAAGACGTTTAAGAATGCGTTAATGTGTCAAAAATAGGAAGATTGAGCTTGAAAAGTATTTTGTCCAGAGTGTTAATGACGTAAAATATACACCAGCAGACGGAATCCTCTGGCACATTGTGTGTGAATGACGTGAGCCTAAAGCTTCCGAATACTGTGATTTGACACACAAGAGTAAGGCGGAAGTGAAGAAATTAACAGAATGGAGTTGCGTGGGAGATTTCGTGTCTTTTAATGAATTAAGGTGAATAAGATTAACGAGGAAGAAAGGTGTTGAGCGCGTCATGATGCAAGCAATAAGTACAAGAGAGATGATAACACTTCTGAAGATTTTTTTTGCCTGGCTTGTTTTTCATTTAAACCTTGGTATGTATCATCACCTTGGCGTTATAAATATTAATTGCTCTTAAAAGGATTGAAACCTCAACTAACGGTTTGCATAGACAAAACGGCGTAGGAATCAACCTAACATCAAAATATGGTTAAGATTGGCCGGTGAAAATTAACGCAACTGACGATAATTTCTTAAGATGTATTAGCTATGACGTAGCTGTAACTGGATTTTTTATTTTGGTATTTACTGTCACGATTACTCAAATATTTTAACCACAATTTTCTACATTTTCGTTTGGGCCAGAAAAGCGAAATCCTATCGAAATATTACATTTTGATTCACAACACCATCCAAAAACTGTTGACATGTTTAACTCCAGAGGAAAGGGACGAACTTAATTTTCGAATGGAATTTATACACCGCTTTTGTATTAACAATCTATAACAACAAGCCACGTTGACCAGGTTGACCCTGTAATTACTTAAAATCCGGAAATTAAATGTAAGGGAAATATCATGTCTGGTGTGATAGTTCTTTGTCGGCTCCTTAAAGTTTCTATAAGAACCCAAACTATCGCTTAGTTTAATCCCCAAAGTGGACTTGTAGTTGCTTTAAGCTGAATTAAAACAAATCTGGAAGAATGAACACATTTTTTTATTCTTTATTTTTATTCTAAGGTATGTTTTCCATATATCAGCTGTCATAAGAGTTAACTTAAAATAGGAAACCTATTTTATAATCGTATACATTGGTAATATATTTACATTTTTCCTCATTACCTCAATTTTATGATATTTTCTACGTAATAGCATTTTATCCAAATGTTTATAATGAGCAAGTTTCTTGTGTAAGGATCCTTGATCCTTGACTTAGAAGAAATAAATGAAGTACTTCGTTTATACATAACCTAAATATAATATTTATATATTTGGCATGTTCACGTCACCCGAAAACTTTATTATTCTTTATAGACAGACCTTTCATTCTAAGACACAGTTCGACGTATGTGCATTTGGCCAATGAAACGACTTTTGAGCATGACTATTTTCTGCAATTTCCAAGTATTGTTCAGCCAAAAAAAGGCAAAAACAAAAAGGATGGGAACGACGAGGTCTGGTGATGACATTGGGTCCATCATTTAAATGTGGAGTTTGAGTCTCTCTTACATTATTTTAATATCGTCTATGACTTATTTAAATCAAATCACACTCATTGTAAGTGGCCTTTTACATCTGTATTTTCGTAACATGCCGTGCACGACCAGGAGGATCTCCTCTGATTATCCGAGTACGGTGGTAAACAACCACACGGGCTGGAAGCGTACAAAGGAACGGCAGACCACGAGTATGGTGTGAAGTTGCTATGGGGTGAAACAGCACTTCCCGGACTGAAGGGCAGATTGGCAGTTGTGTAAAAATGTTGTGGGCTCCATGGTGCATCATGGCTGTTGAAGTGATTCTCTAGGGCTTTATTTTCCATTTCACTCGTTGTTAGCTCTTCCCCGTCTTTCATCTGTTTCCTGTATTTGGCTCGTCGGTTTTTGAACCACACCTACAACGTAAATGTCAGCTTTTCAATACATTTCACGTGCATAAGCGTATTGCATAAGATCATTGCAATGATCTCGTGCAAAGGAATGTAATTTGTAGGGGATAGTAGGAGAATCTCGTAAGTGGGTCTTACATTGTTTATTATAGCATGACATGAAAAGGATCACTTACGACCCCGCTATGCGTCAGTTTTCAAATTTGGAGAAAGGATTCCAGAACTGGCAAAGTTGTTCAAAATGTCCATAATGTCATAATTGAATATGTATGGTGCCAGTAAAAAGTGGGACCAATAAGACGTGTCGATAGGTTCATTCTGAAAATCAGTTAAATCCAAGGAAATTGATTTATCGCTATTCAATTTGAAGCACAAGTAGCAAATGACTTACAAAAGGGTGTGGCCCCTGGCCTCAACCATTGAGGGGCCACGCCACAGTGAGTACCTCTCAAAACTTCTGTCCAAATTGTTCAAGTTCGTCAATTTTAATCCGAGTTAATCATCTACATTGTCAAAGAGACTTGTTCCTTTTTCATTTATCGTTGCTTCTTTGGTATGTGTTTGCTCTGACGAACTAACATTTAAGGTTTTCACTCGCATCTTTCAGCTCGTTGTACTCTTGACTCTTTAATCCACCGAGCCGAAATTTTATTCAAAAGTTTTTTTTCCCATTTTAAATCAATCCTTAACTACTCACAAAATAGCTCAAAATGTCGTGAAATGGGTTTATTAATCCTGCTTTTACAATATAACAACGAGTCATCGAATCGCGTGCAGTAATTAAAAGCCAGGTCTGCAAACCGGAAGGGATTTAAGAGGCCAGGTCAACGAACAAGTATGCGAGATGGCGTGCTTTAGCTTGGAAACGGGCGGGGATTTGGAGAATCAGGCAGTAAATCCCTGGGGAAGATTCCTAAAGTGTCCCTTGTGACCCAGACCTCACCTGAATTCGTGATTCTGGAATGTTAATGTAGGCCGCCAACTGCTCCCGCATAACTACATCCGGATAATGCGTCTTTGAGAAAGTGTTTTCCAGTATCTGTAGTTGTTGGTGGGTGAAGGCGGTGCGTGTCCGCCGATGCTTCCCTCTGGATGAACCATAATGTACCTCAAGTATTATATCTGCGAAGAAAAATGAAGTTGTGCTGAACTGTTGAGGGAAAAATACGCTCCAAGCTTGACATGTTAATAATTTGGAAATAAAACGAAAACTGGCCTCTTTATGTTGCTTGAAATATTTCTATGAGTTTCTACATTTCTCTGATCGGTAATCGGTGAGTGTAGGAGAACTCTGCGCAGTACGGATTTTAGACTCCATAATAGTTGCATTTGCTGGAGGAATGAATTTTGAGACTTATTCTCTGTCAGCGCAGACGCGAAACATGTGGCTTCCGTTCTCAGTCTTGTAAACAGCTCTTGGCCAATGTTCTGTTTGCCTTTGCAGTAGCATAATCTGTTTCAAAACATATGAAGAAATAGCAAAAGCACAAGAATTTGCACTTTGGGACCATTCCTTTATGGAAGGGTCTCAAGTTCTTGTTAAAATATCTAGTCTTCCTTGAAATTAGTCACAAAATTGACTACGAATAATCTGAGGGAAATTGAATTGGAAGAGTTAAAATGCTCTTATTTTTCTCTTACATAACGCTGTGAGGTGGGGCCAGAAGCAAAAATTTTCGCGGCTCACCTGCCAGACGTTCTGCTAACGTTAATGCACGGTCTGCAGAGCGAGGTTCTTGTGTGGAATCACATTTGTCGGGTTTGAGTATGTTATCAATAGAAAATGAAGAAGAACTCAAATCTGACTCCATGATCTTTAAAGCAAGTTGGTGTTTTATCGGAGATGGCTCAGAAAAGTCTCACTGAAAGCTAGTTGTGATGACAGCAGTGAGAAAGGATGTTGCCTCTTGTCTCTACTTCAGCTCTCTGCGGATAAAAGAGGATTTTAACGATCTATCAATTCTCATTTCTTATATTAAGGAACGTGCAGATTTAGTGCAGAAGATGGGCTTGCTTAGCAGCTTTCTTTCTCACAGTAAAAGCCTTGGTTCCACCTAATAGCCTTTCGCGACAGGAATTATATGAACCCCGCCTTTTTCTAATCGAATCGCCTAAATCTAGAAGATTATCGAGTGATTTTAGCAGTTTATAAGAAGATTTGATACTTTCGTTGCTTCTTTCTGCTTCTTTATTCTCGTCTAAGTTGATAAGCGTAAAGACGACGAGACAACCCCGAAATCCTATAACAAATTATTGACTATTTTGCCAGATACTGAGAAAGAATTGGTTGACTGATGGACGCTTTTTTATGCCATTAGTATCTAAGAGAAATTAATGCAAACAAACGAGATTGTGTAGCTTTGGTTGAGACTAAAGAAAGACGATTTACTTCTTTTCATCCTTCCTTTGAAAACAAAGTGATAAATAGGAATTGAGACAGTTCGAAATCCTACAACGAATCGTAACTGCGGAACTATTTAAAACATGGCATACAGCACTGAAAAAACACTGAAAGATTTCTCTTTCCTCTAACCAATCCCTTTGCTCTTACTTTTTCTTCCAAGATTTCTAGGCTGTGATTAGGCCGCCATTCAGAGACGTCTAACACTTTGCTTCGCGTGATTGTATACACCTTAACACAGTTACAAGACACTTCCTTTAAGGGTGTCAATTTATACAATTATATATACACTGAGAGAAGTGTACCGATATTAAAAGGTAATCCATTTGAGCTTTGGTATCAAAACAGTCATGCCGAAACCCTTCATTTCATTTGCTATTTGTGCGCTGCTCATTTCCTAGCAGTGGGGTAAAGCAAATCACGCTTAAAGGAAAGAGCATCCGTACTGTATTACCTAAACCAGTTAGATCACTATGTACACATATCAATCTATTTGTAATGCCGATCGTTTGCTCAAGAAATTCGCGCAGCTGACAATGATTGATAGGGTTAAAATTGCGGTGTTGTGGACCTCCTTGGAGAGCCTTTTGTTCAGATACAACGAAGCAAAGGGTAGTTAATTAAACTAGAAAACTATGATCATCCCAGATCATAACATTTTCTGAAAACCAGTGAGTTACGTGCCTTAAAATTGCGACATTATGCACGCCCCTCTTTTCATAACTCAACTTGAAAACTTGGTGATAAACTGGCAAAACCATTACATTCGATATTATTTTGACACGAGACGAAAATGTCCCACTCAAACGGATGCGATATATGTTTATGAGTAAGTTTAATACGTTTAGACATATTTGGGCAACTTTCTAAAATAAGAAAAACGAGAGGGTAGCGCCGTTGGTCTTCGATCGTGAAAATACGGAAATTGCTTTTGATACTTTAGTTTTATTGCCTTACTGAATGATTAAGATCGTCAATTGGGTGATTACCACGTATATAGGGCGATATCCCGTATATGTGTGATCTTTTGCTGGGCATACTCATACTTTCTATCTTTCATTTTGTTAATCCCCTTCCGCTAAGAAGAGTGACTGTAAATGTAATATCCTTTTAGTGAACTGTTTTTCCTTAATTTAATTTAGTTTAGACGCGCCAACGCCTGCTGTCTAGTTTCAGTAATTTTTCTGACTAGTCTGAAGATCTTTTTAACCTGTAGTGACGCAAATTTGGAAAAAATAGAAATAAGCCCATTGCTTTTTCATTCATAACAGCCTACTTTCAAAAAGGTTTATGTATAGATTTAGGAAGAATCTTTAAGTAGCATTCCACTCTTTTGTAAAACGTATATTTTTCATTACTGAGGAACTGTTTATAATGAAGTCAATTTGAGTTTGTAATTAATGGTTTATGAGCGATATGTGCAACAAAATATATGAACTTCATATATTTCATTGTATCTGATGTGCAACAAAGTTGCATATAGCTTTTGTGGTAACTTGCTTGAATATTAAACAATCGTCGCGGTGGTTTCGTATCTGCCATCATGTGGAAATGAGTAGTATGCTCATCGGTTTTTTTTCCCTGTATCTTGTCATATATCTGAAGTTTGAGTTCGGTAATTTCTTACAATTGCTTCGAAACAGTTGCTCCAAACTGTTTCTACTCCTTAGGTTTAAATCAAACACTTTGCTTCCTGATGAATATTGGTAAAACTTTCTGAACGTTATTTTGAGCCATTTCAGTTGTTAGCGTCTTGCCTCGAGAGGGCGGATTACAGGTGACTCGTCTCTCTTTGCACATAATTGGGCCACTACGTCAAGTATGTGAGATACGTCACCAGCCACAAAATACAAATCTTTTCCCGTTCGCAGCCAAACACAACACGGTTGATCCCTGCTTAACCTCGCTGAAATCGCTTTACAGTATTTTTGGACGCGCACGTTTTGGTAATCCTATATTTCTGTCACGCTATTCCAGCTCCACGCCGATGGTACTACCCAAGGTAGAGAGTGTCATTATTATCATTATTTTCTTAGGTGTTTCTTGTCATAGTTACCAGAATTACGAAAATAATAGTGGTTTGCTTTGGCAATGTAGAGAACAAATCTGTTTTCTGCAGCGGAGCTCACCACAAGCTAGCCCTTCCGCATTGTTTAATTTTAAACTGGTGTTAAATGTCCTTGCGCGTTATTTTTACATGTAGGAGGAGTGAGCGCGTTTCAGAAGCTATCTGGAGAATTGAGGACACATATAAGGTTCTCAAGGTTCTCTATGCTTAGTCATAGTGCATATATCGAATCGCAGTTGTTTTTGTCTTTTGAGACTGCAATATGGAACGTGATATACCTTTTTCCTCGTTTTTATATGCGGAAACATCATTGTTGAGGAAACTAGTATTTTTTTGTATGCCACTCGTACTATCTATCAATCCCAAATATATTCTATTCTTCTTTCCTGTCGGAGCCGCAAGATAGATTCTTTTAAAGTGTGGTAAAACTATAGATGATCATCTTTGAATCTGTGCTCAGGCAAATTCATGACGATTTTGAAATACGTAAAATTAAGAAATTTATATTTTAATAGATATTGGCAACTATTGATCATTCATGATCAAGGAATAATATTTTAAGCTTCAACCCGATGGAATTATGTACCTTAAATGCATCGTTTGAAATTACAGGAACTTTTGAAAGACATGATTCCTATTTAGCAAGGGAGATTAGTTGCACTCTGTTAATTCAAACTCAGTTTTAGTTGTGGGACAGTTTCCTCTTTAAACTCGTAAAATATTAGAAATAAACCTTCGCTTCCTTCCAATTATTTCATTATGTTATTAAAACATAACCAATACTGACCGTAAACCGTTTTAGAAAAACTGAGTTACCTTACCTCCTTAGCTGAACCAAGAACTATCCTCAAGCTTTCTATGTACTAGCTGACTCTTTACTCTGAATTTGTAGACTGTCCCCGTTTTGGCTTTGTACCGCATAGTTAAGCACATCCGTCATTTGTCATCCGTCTTGCATTATATGCGTGATAGGTTGTTTGTTTAGTATTGAAGAAGTAACTACTCTGTGAGCTCATTGTGAAAGCCTAATTCTGTCACTCTTTTTAAGGCATTTACTAATCCTGTCTAGTCCCGCTTTATACCTTTGAGACATTTTTTGTTTCGTTCAAGAAAAAATTCCAGTGCCTGAAGTATACACGAGAAATACCAAGGCGGTGTTTAGAACATAGCTAGTTCATTACTATTATAGATGCAGCAAATAATTACAAAATTATTTCTGCAAGACCAGTGATTCTCTGAAGTTACGAAACGTGTTTTTGAAAGGATAATGCTTATAGAGTATTAGTATTAGCGTTATATATTTATACGGGCAGTCGGATGGAAATGACTTAAAGCGATTTTCGATTAGCTGACTATAACTGGAGATTGACAAAGTTAATGTGGCATGCGAGTCTGTCTCCTGAAAACACGAAGTATTTCTTACAAAAACGACTCATCGCCAGTTGGTTATTAAAAATGCATGTTGATGTTGGTTTAAAGCGCAAGAACAATCACAAGTGGGAACCCGTGGGTTCAAGATTTGACGTTTGTGCGCTAAACAAATACTAGTGTAATACTGCAGCTTAAATTTTAATAAAAAGATTAACGTATTGCATTTTTTCGGATAAAGGCCAGATTACCGGTTTGAAAACATCGTTTTCATAGCCTTTTCCTTTGTAAGGATCCTCTGATTCTTCGAAACATCTCTAGGCTTTCACTAAGAATCCGCCAGTGTCCAGAATTTTTACCGATCAATGTGATTGTTTCTTCTTGTAGCGTAGTGGTGTGGTCAAATCATAGTTTACACTGGGATTTAAAGAGATTATTTACTAATGAGACTTCTTATTTGATTGATTATTACGGGCTTCTCATCGAGTAAGGAGGGCTCACAGCATTCTGCTGAACACGCGATGAATCCAGTCATTGCGTGATAGCGAGACTGCGCCAAATTTGCAAATCCTACAAGGGAATGCGTAACCTTGCTTCGCCGCGGAGCAACTTCGCACGAAAGGTGTACCTTTGGTTAAAAAGCGGAACAAGTGTGAATTTTTTTTAGCCATTTACCTTTACAGGGCCAGAAGGCAAATGAAAAAGATAGGTCCTTCATCAGAAAGGAATAACAAATCACTTTATCGTGAGATAAAAAGTTCAAATGTGATTAAATATCGCGCGATATGCTAACGCATGCCCACACACGACCTATCCAGGACTTCGGTTGGTTTTCAACGTTTCTATCCTACGTGAGAATATTTTAAGCTTAACGCATTTGACATATTTTGGTAACTATAGTATTAAGGTGTTTCTTGAAAAACTTCAATTGAATACTTTTAGAAACACGTAACTAGCGATGAAACAAGTTGCGAATTTTTATTGTTTTACTTCCTTCAGATTCTTTATTTTCTATCTTTCTCAATATCATGAAAATATAAAAAAAATTATCTTCCTTCCTTCAGTTACCTGTGTACAATTTTTAAGGTCACAGTTGTTCTTCGAATAAACTTTTTTAAATGAACACTCTTTAATGAACGAAAGTTGGTGATTCTTTCCAGCACCAGTTCTGTTTTTTTTACGGGAGTCTTCCAAGAAGAGGAGTTTGCATCGGAAGGCGATTATAGACGACAATTATGGCCATGGAAATTGAAAAGAAAAGATTTATAATTTTAACCAATGTATATACAGTTGTTTTGTGGAGAAGCGTGGTTAAAAGTTTCCCTTTTCCGAGATTACACAGTTTTTATTACGGCTTGTGAGTTTCTTAACCAGATTTGCGTCGAAAACTTTGATTGTCAAACTAAGCTGATTATTAAAACAATCAAATAGTCACGAAATCACGTAAACATGCGTTTATATTTTGTCGAGGAAACTCATAGATTGCTTCCATGAATCCGAAATTATAATATTATACCATCTTAATTAGATAACAACGAGTCTTTAAACTTTGGGTTACAATTTAACCAATTATTTTTGTTCTTGTTTTTTTTCCAAGCCTACGTATGATACACAAGGATTGAATGTTTAGTCAACAAATTGCAGGAAGTGTTTGCTATGTTTAAAAATTCCAATATGCTATTACCGGAAAATTATTGCACTGGTAAATGAAGAGAAATGTAAGCTCTCTGGGAGCAGTTAATACGGCATAAATCAACCTTGATAATCGCTGTGTCTCTATTTAAATTTCCATCCTTATATGTATGTGTTGTAAATTAAATATCTTGTTAAACATAAAGGTAAATGCAAAAAGGTTTAGATGCTTAATATAAGGGATCAAAGTTGTGTTTTCTGTGAAAACAATAGTACTGGATCTAAAGAGAGCCTAATGACTTCACGAAATCGTTCATCTAGTTTTCTACACTGAAGAACTTAATGTGTTTAAGACAAACTGTATTTTTGTCGTATTGTTCATGATAATCTTGACATTTTGGTCGGTTCTTGTACTAACTTTCGACCAAAGGTAGAGAGTTCATGGATAACCATCTGACGTAACTTTTGACTGATTCTCAGCTTTACAACTGTTCAACCATTAACGCTGTTCGTAACTTTGTTCAATTTGTAATAATCGTCGAAGTCAACTAGGAGTTTTTTGGACGTAAAAGTAATCAAAAGCCTAACGTTTGCATCTCGTTGTAACTCGAAACTTTGATCCGATCCGATTTAGACTCAAGAATCTGTTCTTTGATAACCAACTTACCAAGAGTTTTTACAATTTCTTTACTGGTCCTTGCTGTAGCGTAATTCGGCATGAATTCATAGTGTATGTAAGAACTGAGCTGCCTCACGAAAGCAATTTTGTGATAGATTTGTGCACCTGACCGCTTTATAGAAAGGAAAAACACGGTATGAGTCTGGCATGACCTTATCACGAGGCTACGGTAGAGTAAAGTTGATTTGTGAGTTTAATACGGCTTTATCTTAATCTATCACGGAACATGGACCACGATTGCTGAATTCTTATCAGAGACAAGACAAAACTACTGGTGACCATGACCATGTACCTTTTCAATTCTCTACTTTGTTCTGATATATTTTCAATAACTTTCGTTATATTCGTTCAGATCCGAAGCATAAGGACTGAGCAGGGTCACTGGGCCTGTTTTGAGGATAAGCGTAGTTATGTTTAGGACTATTTCCATTGTTTTTTGAGCTAAAAGCCAAAGCTTGGCTTAGATTTTCGTGTTGGGGGAGCTGTCCAATGTGCTCACAAATCCGATTGCCGAGGTCGTGTACATAATGGCTAATTTCAGTTACGCTTCAAATTTTTCGACCTGTTGACGAGGATGGATGTAGCCATACTATACTCATCGGTGGCCAGAAACTTACTTGAAGAGAAAAAAAAACATGAGGAAAACATGAAAATTTTAACATTTAAGACGGAATATTTTGATTTCTATAGCATAATGGCCCATAATTGGAAGGTAAGGAAAATGCAAAATGAATAGAAGAGTGTGGCCAAGTATTTGACCCTTTTAGTCTTCAATAGAGGTCTGCTTTAAATTCCTCTCTAAACAGTATTTAAAACGGCATTCAAGAATTTTGTCGCGAGAGTAATAAAAAGAAAATACTTTCAAGGGTTAACCAGGCCATTATGATGAAGAGCAGCGAAGAATAAGTCGACTGGTCTATTAAAGGATCTAGTTTTTCTGAATTTTTTTAGAGAGCTGGCTTTTGTTCTTGAGGTAGAGGATAGGAAGGAAAAATCTATACACAATAGAAGCTGGCGTGAGGTCGATCAATGTCCTTTTTTTCATAGCACAGGTGGGAACTTGGGATATAAAACTGTTGTTTCTTGGCAAATTGCCGCAGAACTTCAGGGTTCGCGATTGACCCAGACCAACATAATGTGAGCGCGCCTTCATGATACGCGGCAACTGAGTTTTATCACACGTAGATGTTTTTTAATGTAGCAGCTCGATGGTTTGCACATGCATGCACAGAACTGGTACACAATTCGGATGAATAGAAGAAAGTTCAGTTCAGGCGAATTTTGTTAGGATAGCGTCTCAACTGAAAAGGGAAAATAAGTTAAAATTATTTTCATATCACTGATTTTGAATGAAAGGAGTGTATTCTGACTAATACACTTCTCCGTTTTTGTTGATCGTTACAAAGTGGGACGCCAGATTAATAGAACTGTAAAGATATTAGTGATGTAAGAGTAAAGGAGGTTGAGCCAAAACTCTGCACCCTTATTTGGCACCCTTGTATCTGTAATTTGTTGTTGTAGAAGCCGTGTTCTATTTTTCATTTTTATCCCTACTGGTGTTCCGAAAGTCGGCAGAGATCTGCACCCTTATTTGGCACCCTTGTATCTGTAATTTGTTGTTGTAGAAGCCGTGTTCTATTTTTCATTTTTATCCCTACTGGTGTTCCGAAAGTCGGCAGAGATATTTGAATTCAATAATAAGAGTAATAGCCACTGAACTTCTTAGATATCGGTTGAAATGTTGGATTTTAATTGAATTGTTATGTGGGTAGAAGCGTTATATGTAGGACTTTTCACACTTGAACTGTACGGAACAACACTTCATGTGTTTCTGTTGATAAGTTGTACAGCGATCTAATTTGATCTAATTTTTATCAATTCTGTCGTCGATAAATATCCTGTATCGTACGCTTTAAACGAAACCGAGTTACCATGCCACCCTGTCCCGGTAAACAATGTCACGAAGCATGTACTGATTAATTTGTCGGTCGATTAATGAATAATTTCATGTTCTCTTCTTGGAATAGATAATTAATCCTCCTGGCTCCTGGATCATCGCCTCTTCTGCGACCATCCTACAGATTTCTTCTGTGTACCGCTGTTAGCTCAGCGCCCCAGTATTTTGAGAAAAAAAGTGTAGGCGCCTAAGAAGATTAGTTCTTGTCGGAATAGGCATAAGCTAACAGTTTCTTGAAAATTACTCAACACTTATATTCGCATTCCAATTAAAAATTAAAAAAAACTGAAAAAAAAAAACAAAACAATAAAAGCTCAAGTTGTGAGCGTCAACGATGACAGAAACAACTTTCGGCAGAAAAAATTTAAACTGTGACCTCTAGAAGAGCACATAACGGGCTAGTTGAACAGAGCATGCTCGATGTGATCTACTCCTTGCAAATTGTAACATAACTTTTATTTCGCGAGAAATGACTGGCTCGTTAGTTTCGTTGTTTGTTTAAATCAGCATAACTTTTAGCTGAACATTGTATATATCTCCAATACTCGTGGACTCGAATCTAATCAATAAGCTATTTTTAAAACTTCTTTACAAAGCAGTTCATTTTTCAACTGTGTCCAAACAAAGCTAATTAATACGCAAATGATAAGAAAACTAAATTAGCTGATCATTAATTCAACTTACGCACATCCTCCGGGCAAGATGTTCTTTCTGTGGAAGAAGTCCATATCCAGCGCAAAATAAGAAATTGTTTTTAAAGCCAATTTAGGATAATTGATATTCGTAGTATATCGTCTGTTATACGCGAGGAGACTACATTCCACAGAGTGGTTGCAAGCTTTTTCAACATAATATTGATCCTTAGACGTCTCGAAACGCTGCAAATTGAATTGTAATTGATTACGACAGCTCTAAATTCGTTTATAAAGCCGCCATCCGTTGCCAAGAATGTTCGCTAGACAGTTTATTTCCATCATATTTGGAAAGTTCCCATCGGAAAAAAAGCGGGCGAGCTATCTCTGTTGTTTACGTCAAGTCGCAAAAGTAACTAAAGAACAATGCTTGTGATCGACGACAAATGTTTACGATATTTGGTTTAAGGTAATAACTTTAGAATGACCCTGGAGGTCGTTGACCCTTTAATAGCTCTATCTATTTACGTTTAACTTATAACTCTCCTTCCCTCAAGATCAAAGAAAATTTGTAGCAGTTTCGTTGGTGAATTTTTTGTTCATAAGACAAAGATGCCAGTCTGACGTCTCTTCTTAATGAAGTATCATCCAATTTGAACGAGACGTAACCCTGGAAATGATAGTAAGATTAATCCCTTCAAAAGCTAGATAAATATAATACTGGTTTGCCTACCCAGGTATTTTTTTAATTTTCAGATGTCTGCGACTGTAAATTAACGAAGGTGACAAACATGTTTAAGCTGATGTATGAAATGTTTTGGCCTCTATTTCTTTATTGCGCTTGAGCTAAGAATTGGGAACACCTTGAATATTCGGGAATACAAGATACATACTAATCATACAACGTATGCTGGTCTTTCACTTTGTAGGTTAACAGTAAACTGAAAGAAGTTCACCAACGCTTGACTTTTGGAGGTAGTGGTCTAACCAAATAGTTAGCATTGCAGTACAGAGCTTACGTTTATTGTATTTAAACGTTAATCGGGTAATACGTTTATTTTTGAAACGTCATGGAAATCATTGCAACTTATGAAAGTTTGGCATAGCCACTGAAGATAGCTGAGGTGTTAAAAGCAAATAAATCCTTCACTGGAAAGGAGTTGTTTTGGATGCAATGAAGTAAGAGCCATTTAAAAGTAGAATGTGCGATTTTGTTTTCTTTTCTCGGTCACTTAATCCACGGAACAATTTACTATTTATATATATAGCTCCGGAGATGTTTTTAAGACCAATACAAAGTTTGAAGTCTTATAGATTACGGAAGATTAGCATGGATTAACCTATAAGAAAGAGACCTAAATTAGATGGGTAGACGGCCAGATCCTCTCCACGACGAACTTTGACTTTGTTCTCTCTGCGCTGGTGCTAAGAGTTTGCTTTGTTTTTCAACTGGGCGTTGAAATGTACACATGATTGTCGAAATAAGATAGGCAACACGCTGAGTTCTGATGCAATATGAGGGAAAAGGGCGGAACTTAATTCTATTTATGATTTAAATCTAGGTAAGATATGTTTTTCCCAATGACTTAGATAGGTAAAAGGATTGTGGAGAATTTCTTTTTCTGCAATGTATACTAATACTGGCCGCAAGGGCTGATCCTTATATTTTCAAGCTAAAGCCATCAGGAGCTTGATGAGAAAAAGAAGTTTATCAGTCGTTTATTAATCAGATCATACCCACTCTAAAACATAGACGATCACGTAATCAAATGCACAATACGATCATTTTTTTCGAATGGTCAGGAAAATTCTAAAGCAGCTAAAAAGACCATTTTCTTTGAGGGCGGCAGGTCAAAGTTAATGCTTAAGAAATACTGGGACTTCTTTTGTTAACTGCTTGGTGTTGACCCGGTAGTTTCTCGACTTAAGCTAACTTGAAATTGTTCGATCAAACTGGCATGTTCCTTGTCAGGTTCATCTGGTTCTTTATTTTATGTGTGCTAAGACATCAGAAATGTCAGATAAATTCTCTGGAAAGTGTTGTTCACATATCATGTGGGTTGCCTGCTCGATGAATGATACGGAGCGGTGGAAGTGATCATGCATTCGAAGGAACTTAATTAAGTCATATTTCCTAAGGGAGCACTTAATACCGAGGACGGGACACGACCCATTCCGAAACGGAAACGAAATGATGTAATTCATTATAAAATTTAGGGGAAAATGTTGGTGAATTCCCTATTTCCATTGATGAATGGAGGGTTACCTAAGGCGTGATGAACTCGTCGACTTTCGTGTTCAAAAACGTGAAATAGCGTCAAGTGACCATTGTCGTAAAGGCTAAGCAGAAACTTGGTCGAAACAGCTGTTGTGACCAAGCGCGAGTGCGCAACTGGGTTTATATGTGCCCGAGGTTCACACATAAATGAAAAGATCAATACTTTTTCCAAAACCTTCAATGCCAGATTTACAAGTATTTCTCGCATGACTGTCTCCTAAAAATTTTCATAAAGATTTCAATTCCTGAATCAAAGTATTCGATTGATCCGCTACTTTTATGCAAGCTGCTCATTCTAGAGTTTCAAAATAGTTTCTTTATAAACGATTTTCTCCACCAGGGCCGTAGCCAGACCTCAGAACGAGACGAGACAAGTTTCGAGCGCCGAAGGCGCAAGCCGCTAGGAGAGTCTGGGGGCATGTACGTCCCCCTCCAGAAAATTTTCAAATCTAGAGGCTCAGAAATGCTCTTTTAAGCATTTTCGGTAGCATTTTTCTTCAGAAAAGTCAATCTTGGGCAAAATCAAGACGAGGTTGTCTCGTCTTGCCTCATGCTAGCTACGGCCCTGTCCGCGTTCCGCCACTTTGATTGCATCGAAAAAATAAATTTCCTCTGAAACGAGCGGAATCATTCGGCACAATTCCCGTCCAATCCTGTGCCCAATAAAGTTTGATCAAATTACGCGAAAACCAGAAAATGATATCGTAAACATTGTGTCTCATAGCTTTCTCGCTCGCTGATATGCATCTCATCATTTCAAAATTTCACATAAATGTCTAAAATGCGTTGGAAGTTAAGATGGATTACAAAGTTAAAAATTAAAGGTGTGAAAAGGCAGCATTTCAGATATTGTTTGAATTAAAATGATATGGACTTTTAAATTTCTTTGTGTCTTAATCGCCGGAAATGTGCCAATTTAGAGCCACGCAATAGCATAAATCTATTAAAATGTGTCTAATTTCTAATTGATCGACAAAGCCTTAGTTCCTTAGATGCCTTTCCATATCCCTGATGCTATGGTTAGTGTCTGTGTTGTATTGTATACTCCAAATGTCATTCAGAGAAATCGCAAGACGTCACATTTTATGAGTACTCCCATATAGAATTATTAAGAATCATTCTCTTGAAGAAGTGCTCAGCTGCTATGAAGATTTTATTTTCTGCTTGGGATAGTTATGAAAGAGAGTTTGATTGTTGTCAAATACTTCACCTATTTTTCCTGAAACAGGGTTATGAATGGTAGTAACCCGTTTTGCCAGAGTAAAGCATTTTTTGGTATTTTTTCGATAGGTTTTTGACCTTTTGACGTAATGACATTGCACGTAGCCAAAGGTTTAGCCCAAAATGAGGGATTCTTTGGACTTCCATGGACTTTGCTAGCTCTCTGAGAGAAGAAGAGAACAGTGAGGCGGAGAACTTTTACTGCAACGTACAATAAAAAGTCGTACAATAAAAAGTCGTACAATAAAAAGTCGTACAATAAAAAGTCGTACAATAAAAAGGAGTGAGTGTAAGGGGAGAGATAATCAAATTAATTTAAGAATAATACAGACTAAGGCTAGACGTACGAAATGGCAACTTTGCTTACTTGATCAGCCCTAGCTTCTAAAATTCTCCACGAGATGGTTGGTGACGGCCGCTGTACGTAACTCGTCGTCAGAGGAAGCTAGAGGAGGTTGGTGTGATTTAGTAGATTATCAAGCTGCTCGACGAATTTATTCAACCGGTGCCATATAATATTCTTGAGTATGTTTTCTCAGCCAATCCAGTCAAATGAAAAACTTTTTGGAAACAAAGCATTTCGTGTGCATGTTTGTTTATTTTTTTTTCTAAGTTGGTTTTACTTTGTCGAAGTGCATTTTTAAGAAATACCGAACATAAGTCAATGTGATGATCTGCAAATACAAAAGTTAGATATGGAATCTAATACAAGATTACAAAAGTGGATTGATTAAAAATTCTTTGTCTGCATTCTCAAACTGTTTATGCACGATTTCTGCCGCTCTCTCGGGCCCGGTCTTTCTCGTTCCTCCCCAAACCGCTAGGATGCTACGTTGAAACTCAGCGGTGACGTTATGGAGAAAAAAAAAGAAGCCATGAATAAATTGACAACGTTCAACTGTCCAAGTTTTGGTTGAAACGAAATACAGAAGATTAAGCGAAACTTTGAAAGTGCGTCAAACAGGAAGTATGTGATTGTTTAATTACGAGTCATTGGAGGAGTTTGAATGAGCTATGTTTACCAAAACAGATCAACAGAAAACTGCATCAATTGAGGATACATTAAAAATTGGAAAGACAGTACACGGTAAAATGTGAAAATCTGAAGGTCGCAATTTTTCGTTTAAAACTTCCTTGTTAAAATATTGACTAGCCTGATATAATTTAACATTTTTTGTGATGGATGTAAAAGTAATGGCCACTGAACCCATGTTGGTAATTTTGTAATTAATTTGCGTACTCTTTCCATTGTAACCAGGATTAACTGATTGTTTCATCGACTGGTTTTTTTCTCCCCGTTATTGTAGCATAAGGTTTATTTTGCAACTTTAAGATTTTGTGCAGAGGATGGCAAACTGAAAGCTTATCCGAATAGCGGAGTAGTTAGACATGTTTCATGAGCGTGGGCCTCGGCCTCGGGCCCACGCTCATGAATCGAAATATGTGGCAAGAACGCTCGTGTCGATATGCAGGAGGCGTGTCACATATAGAGTGAGAAGTGACCTCACTGACCATCGAGTTCTCTCAGTGTAACTCGGTAGTAGAGCATTGGAGCACAAAATCCAAAGGCTTGCATGCGATTGGGTTTGTGTGGGGTCCTCCGGTTTTGTTTTTTATCCCGCGAGTTTTACATTTCTCTATTTAATGGCAGGGTTGGGGTAGGAGACGTTAATTTCCCACACACGAGATAACTGTGTGATGGATGTCCTCCTCTGGGGTGGGATGGGTGGGATATTGGGCGCACTTAATTTGGAGCCTCGCTCTGTTGTGCGACCCTCACCTCACTCTGGTGAAAGTGATTAAAAAAAAAAAAAAAAAAAGCTGAACGTTTGGCATAATTCTTAATCTGCGTTCAACTTTGCTGATCCAAGTAGTATGCAGGACGCTTTTCACAAATGATTTTGACTTAACTCGCCAGCGGCTACGATTACTTTACTACAGCTTTTTTCGCAAAAAAAATCTGCTTTAGCGAAATTAGAAAGAACCATGGCTGAGGTCCTGGAACCTCCACGAATACCTCAGAATTTTCTTTGTCCCACGAATGCGAAAAATGTCGAACTTGTTTCACACTTTTTGTCGTCAATTTGTCTGTTAAAACGTACCGATCCATTAACTGATGTCAACTTGACGTCCTGTGGACATTTTCCTACTTATTAGCAATGGTAATTCACTGAAATAGCATTATCTAGATAGCTTTAAATTTTTATTGACTTTGATATGCTTTTGGATTTTCTAAAAACAATGCCGACCTGAAACTAAAAGCATGACACCGGGATTTCGTTTGAAAGCTGGGTTGAGCAAAATAAATTCAAATCTGTACCTAAGTTTCCAAACAATAGAGTGAAACCTTCCGAAGATTTTTAGATTCACATGTACTTGTACTGTCAGCCTTAGAGCTCAACATTTATTGGTCAGATGTCTTTCGAAAAACATGTGGTAATAGGATTGTCTTAAAACTCTATCAGACAAGGCATAATTCCGCTACTAAAATCAATAGCAATTGTTGCAAAATGATAGATTATCTTTAAACTCGTGTGTATTAGTTGACAACCGTTATACATATTTTAATCGTCCATAATACAATAGTCCAGGACGCGAGAGTTATTACTGACTGATGTTTTGACTGCTGAGTGTATATTTGACAAACCAAACCCACTCTAAAGATCGTTCTCTTACAGAAGGCATAACCCTGACGCTTAACTTCGATGTTACTGATTGTAATGACCTTAATAAAATAACTCCCACAGTTCTTAAGTTTAGGGATGGATTTTTAATCAGTATTTGTGTGTTTCCATTAAAACGGCGACAAAAGAAAAACATCATTATACCACTAGCTATTTGAAAAATCCTTACTATGATATTTCCGTAGATATTTTCAGCCTTCTCCTCTATTATTCTAAGGTTTTGATAAGAAGCAAGGAGGTGATTTATGGATTGTATACTAAAAACCAAAGGTGTGAAAAGAAAACATTTTTAATGTCATACAAAGTAGTATCCTTGAATTTATTCGTCTTTTTCGTTAAAAAAAAACAACGACTGGCATCCTGGCGATTCGATGAATCAACCGGAACTCTTCTTTTTTTTTCTTTTTGACATTTCCAGCTCAACATTCTTACGTCGTACTTATGTATTCATCAAAGGTGTTTTCCTTATACCAATGACTTTCTATCACTCATTGACCGCTCTAACTCTCTTTATATACAATGTCATTCCTTCAATAACAAAAATATTTTTCTTGATGAGGTGTACAGTTGGTGCCGGCCATTCGGGCTGATTGCGAAAGACGATGATCGAGCGGATCTAACTGCACACAGCCAACACACAAATACTGTACTGAATATGTTGCTGTAACTTATAAACTACACTTTGCCCGTTTTCGATAATTGTTTTTCATCCAAGCCACATATCTCCAATATGTGCGTGATTCATCATCACATTTGTCGACACAGGCTGCCAGCCGTGTATTCCAAGCGGCTGAACCAAGTGAGAATGGGGGCTCAACTGGGTGTGTCTACTCAGCTGAGTGTACATTGTTGAAGAGTGTCCAAATGTTCTTATTGAATCAATGGGCTCACTGTAGTTGAAGTAATAAGGAACTGTGTTATACTGAAAACAAGGCGGCGATGATTGGGTCGGTGTCACTGGGCAAACAGTGGGGATTGGTTCCTCTTCACTTTCGTAGCTCTCGAGAGGAAGGCAAGTTCTCGCTTCCTTACGGTATTTAGCACGTCTATTCTTAAACCAAACCTAAAATAGGGTTAAGACTTCATTAGTGTCAGTTCAATTCATCCATCCATTGACGTTATTCGTTTACCTGAATCCTTCCTTCTTGTAGGTTAGTTTTTTCGGCAAGTTGCTCCCTTAGCTCTACATCTGGGTAATGTGTTTTACTGAAGGATTTCTCGAGGATTCCTAATTGTTGGTGTGTGAAGGCAGTGCGCGTGCGTCGTGGTGTACGTCGGCTTTTCTCTTGTCGAGCTTCTAAGATAACATCTAGTAGAGTTGAAATAGGGACAGTTTAGTTTTTTGCAATATCAAATATCTCACCTTATTTAGGAAGAAATTTAGAGCACTTAAAGCGGGAAATCAATTCAGATATTGGGGCAATATCTTTATCTTTTATCTTTACTTTTATTATTTTTTTCTGTACTATTTACAAATAATTATTTCTACATTAAAGTACATTAAAAAGGAGAGACATAGGCAAACTAAATTTCACAAGTAGTGACAAGCAAAATGTGCGCAGTGACCAAAGTAGCTTAAGCTTTCGAGTTGGTCACTGCCACAGACAATTAATTGGCATGAACATGTACATTATAGGTATTTACATAACAGTAAAAACAAAAGCAAACTACACTCAGGATTTTGTATTGCTTGTAGAAACAATTCTAAGGAAGTTTTTTTTCATTCAAAGGAGATATAGTCCCAGATAATTGAAGCTACAAAAGCAAACGTAGTAGTACAATAATTATTACTTGCTCTTGGTCTGTAAATATTAAACTTTAGTCGCAAATCTGGTATTGTGAGTATGAACCTCAGAAGCTAGTGTAAGAGTTGCAGAAAATATTGCTGGGATGTTTGCGGGGTCATTTTTAATTTTATGTATAAAGAGAGCTAATTTAAATCTATAAATGTTTTGGAGTGTGAGGATTTGCAAAAGATTGAAAGGGGGCATAGCCTCTCTGCTATGAGCAAAGAATATGACCTGTAATCTAGTTTTACTGGCACTACCCCAGCTTATAATAACATAAGTTAGATATGGATAAATAAAGGAATAATACAACTGTTTTAGAGTGTGAACATCTAAATAATAGCGTAATTTATTAATAATTCCTACATTTTTCCTCAATTTATTGTTGATATGCTGGATTTGGGGTCCCCAATGTAAATTTTGATCAATGAATACGCCTAAATACTTTATTTGACATTTACGCTCAAGTTTATGTATATGTATATGTCACCTATTCTTGAGGGGACGGTTTAACCATGAAACCGGACAATGAGCGACAAACGTGAAGTAATTTTTCGTCTGCTTGTTATCGCTTTCGGGAAAATATTTGTCACCAATGTAAAAACTGCACAATTGGTCTGACATGGCCGGGAGGGGACTCGTGAAAATGTTTCAAAAACAGAAACATCGATAAGCCATAACGGTAATGTTATCTAATGCAGATACCCGCCAATTAGACTTGCCGTGGGAAAAAAAGGAAATACAGTCAAGTAATGGTAAAAGTAAATGTACGAAAATTGTTGTTCAAGGGAAATTGCTCAAAATTTGGGTCAGTGGGAAGTTTAGTCGGGTTTGCAAAAGGTGGCAATGATTCATGTCATTGATGAATATGAAAAGAGGAGAAGATGCGATGTAAGTAGAAAGGATTCTCGAAGTCTCTTTCTTTTCATAGTGTTTTGTTTTTTTTTCGTCTTGAGGCGTAATTGTGTGAACGTGGGAAGAAGATAGTGATATTCGATGGAAATTAAATGCGAAAAAAAATACAATCAGCAGTATTTACATTTGTTGATAAATGCTAATTAGACAGAATACTCAGTTCGTGATTTCATTTTCGAACCTTTCTTTATAAACAATGTTCTGAAACCGGGCCTCTCAAGTGCTGAAAAGGATTAAAAAAAATGAACCCAGACACTTTCTGTCAATTCGTTGAGAGAGATGCCCTTTCCCTTTCGGAACCATTTCGGTTGCCCCTTAAACTCGGTTGACACATTTAATGCAACAACCAATAAATCAGAGAGCAATCTAATTGGAATTCCTGAACATTGCGAACATGTTTAGTGCTTGGCCGGCGCCATTATGGTCCAAGAAATATATTACGCTGAGATAAATTTCACGATAAGGGAACCGACGGGTGTGGTGACGCGCTATTGAATATATGAGCAGACTTACAAAAGATTTCAACTCAATGAGACTCACTGAATCGGTACGAAGCCAGTAAAGCTTTTTGCTTCACATGTTTCTTGACGTTTGTTTAAAGATATTTGAGAATGGATTTCTCATTATGCCGTTTTTAGAGCCTTCCGCTCTTTGTTAACTTGTTTACGTTTCCTCTAGTTTGACGTACCTATGCTCATTTACTCTTCCTGAAATCAAAAGGAGCTTTCAGATAAAAAATAAATGAGCCTGGATCTGTCATACTACCCTAAGTAACAACGCAAGAGGAGGCCAAAATGTAATGTTTTTAAAGAGCGAAGACGTCACCCCAGACGCACGATTTGCGCTTGAAGGGACAGTCTGCAAAATAGCTGTCGGCAACTGGTGACGATGTCAAACTGGCCTTGAAAGAATTTCTAGCTTTAAAGAGTAGACTTCGAACGGTTGACAGTTCAAGATCACAGTGACTAAACATAGGCTCCGGTCAAAGTTGCCAACAAGTGGACCGGTAATGGTCCTTTCAAAGCAATTCGGTTCTGAGTTGTAATGGTTCATTCCTCTTATGCTATAGTTTTCTTTGGTTGAGATACGATTTGTTTTGACTCGCCTCAATAAAATCGGTTGTAATTTTGGTCACTGACGGCTCACATTGTATTTTGTTTGCTCCAATATTAATCCAGTCCATCGAGGAACTGACCGAGCTCCATTCATTGTTAATCCAGTCCTCTTCAACTGAAGTGCTCTGTTATTAAAAAACACGGTGATTTGTTTTGATTTAGATCACAGATCTACGAGGGCTATGGGTTTGAAAGTTGCAAGTCTTCCCGTAGTGTTGTCTTAAAACTAATAACCTCTCGAAACTGAGATGATTAAATGATATCAGGAGGACTGAGGTTTTGTATAGTTTGCACTCAAAACAAACTAATCACGGCGCCGTGTGTGAAGTGATGTTGCACTGGAAGCTCAAATTGTTCCATTGTCTCTCAATGATTTTGATACTACGTGACTGCCAACCTAGCTAGCGACCTGCGTAGTTCTAACGGCATTAAACGCTTACCCGCGAGTTTTACGGCCAGTGAAAGTGCTTCTCTTGATTTGGACGGCGGAGGTTCCTCCGTGTCATTCACGCACGAGGGAGCCGGTTTCTTTTTAAGGATGCTCTCAATTGAGAATGGATTGGCATCCATTGGGGAGATATTTTACTTATTTTGTCGATGCGGCCGATTCTTCTAGAGAATCAGTGTAGCTGTTTTCTTTCTTGACCAAAGCGTCTTCATGAAAGCGTACCCATTCACTTTTGAGACACCCGTGGATTTCTCGTAGGTCTTGTCATACGGGCCTGTTTCATCCGTGTTAACTTACAAGCAGCAGTATGATCTGCAAATGTAATTAAGCCTTGAAACGATGACATTGATAAATGTTCCCAAAAACTGTCGCAGATGCCAGCAGTTGACAATCTCTTACCCTTATAAATCGGGCCCAGCGAATGATCTCGAATGAACTTTGTTTGAAAACAAAAATCATCGAGTATTTCCTCCGGCATTTTTGGAGAATGGAGTCATTTCCCAGTTCTTTCATCCATACTTACTCTACGAACGATGTGCTAATGCTATTAAATGAGCCATTAGACACCTTAACGTTTACACTCTGTCAAGGGCCGCTTATCTTGTGGCGGAATTAAGTTGCAAGATGTTTCTGCTTCGTTATCAAAAGAGGCAAGTTTTAATGAAAAATATTCCTGGTGTGTATCAGCAACAGCATATGTGAGAACGCTGTTAACTTTTCTCGTGTCACAAGATTAAAGTATTAGCTCACGAAAATCCTTCACGGGATTCTGATATCCCGCAAAGTTATGATTTATTGGTCTCACTTTTTCTCGACGGCTATCTATCAGCAGCCATTTAGTCAGTTTATTTTAAGTTTTTTCCTCCTGTTTACAGGATTATATTGTTTTCATTCTCAAATGCTTACCGACAGAGGCCGTGTGTGTAAGATAGTCTCGGAATTTTTTTATCATTGATACTTGCCGATTTTTATCGGTGATCGGTTGATAACTGAGGCATAATCTATGGTTCTAATTACCAACTTTCTATCAAGCTTTATCCCTTTGGCTGAACGAAGTAGATAAATTGTAAACACGTTGACAAACCAAGAGGCCTACGTAAAAAGTTGCATTTCTGCTTGATTCCCTCCTTTTTCTTTGACGTCCATTAGCAGAACTTGATGTGCATCGTTTTGGGTGGCAACGGTGTCCTCGCCCGCGCCCAGTCCCCTCTTCTTCCATGAGCCTCCATGAGGTTTGATCACGAAAATATGATCAGTGTACAGGAGGAGTACTTTTCATAACTTATGTATCATTTACCAATTTATTCATTATGGATGATAAATTACCTGAAGTTTGGGATATTACATGTCTTTACTCCAATTGCAGGAAATCGTTTTTCATTCATTATTTTCACAAGTCGTCTGCTAACTTCCGGGATGGGACTGTCGGCCTGGGATTACGAGAAACTAGATTATTGATGTTTATACTGAATACCCATCAGTTGGGTTAACTGCTTTGTAGAGGCATTTTATTTAAACATGGAGAAGAACCGTCACTCATTTTCTGATCGATTTCACTGTTTGGAAACATGGTCGCAAACATTGTTTTCATAGCCTTGTATGAACAAATATAACACATCACCAACCAAGCAGTTTTTTCATAAATCCAGCTGGCCTCAGGCCAAAATGCCATATTTTTGAAAGGAAAATTCGTGCTCCTTAGCAAATATGTTTATCAGCATAAAGCTTAATTATGTCACATTTGCGCTGCTGCGTGAAACAGCTTGCCATTTGCCGTCTTTAGATCTCCTGAAAGATTTCTCAAGATGTAGCTCGAATAAAAAAAACAAAGCTAAGTTTGGTATGCGTAGCTCTACGCAGCCAGGGTCTATTACTACTGATATTGTAACAGATAACAGTGTTCCGCGGTGTACTTTAATCGGATTTATCGAATAGCTTGAGCACATGTAAAAAATTAAATCTCAACAACCACATCCAGCTTATGAAATAAACCTGTGGTAATGCGAGAAATGGTTCGTGACATATTTTGATGCTCTGCGATGAAAAGATAAGCGATTTACTTTCTGAAGAGAATGATTTATACCAAATGATGAATCATGCTTTTACTGCACCTCCAGTTATACTGAAAACCCCGAAAGGGTAAATTTTATCTTTTAAGACAGTAAGTGCGAATTGAGGAAACTGTTGGGAAACAATCAAGCGTTTTATCAACATCCGTTATCTTTCTTCAGGTGCCACTACAGCGCAGTAAACTTAACCTAAGAAGTGTTATCGCGATAAGTAACTAGGAGTAAAAGTGTGAAGAATGTACTACAACGCTTTATAATCTATGTTCTAACCTAATATTTTCCTTACAACGATTAATCAGTTCTTCCATATCCCTGTCAGTTCTGCCAGCGAAGCTATAGTCTTGGGCTATTAATAACAACGTCTAGTTAGCTTGTTGATATCTAATTTCACTGCGAATGACACTGCACCAAGCAGAATCTGTTTTCTTATCGGGAAGGGCCAAGCAGTTTCCAATATTCCCACTTCGTCACCATTGTCATTTACATCCACGGACGCTTTCAGGACGTTACAGTCATATAATTTTCTCAGCCTGAGAAGATTGGGGTTGCGTCTTGCTATACACCCAGGGGAAAAGGAATGGCTTCCTCATGTTCCTTGCCCGATTTTCAGGCTTCCCAGTTGTAAACAGGGTAGGGGTGTGGTTTTACAAGTAATCATTAATCCAATTGAAATCCAAGAATAACATTGTAGTCACTGTTTCTTGGCATGATCATTCGTCGATTTTAGATCAATTGGTAACGATTTATTGCAAATGATACCGAATCTTTTGTACATAAGTTTGGTTGTTGTGCCTCCCACAGAGAACAATGTAGAATTATATTTTTCCTAGAAAGTATGGTTTTTCAGTCAACGATACTCTTCGAGGAAGGGTTATGTCATGAGCTGGTGCTACCACTGCCAAATCGAGATACTCAGCTTCCATAAGCTGCAGCGTACCAGCTTGTTTAAAAGAAAGTGAGAGAGTTTGATTGGATCGTGAAGGTTTTTTTTTTCTCAGATAACTTTTCATCGCAAATGTCGTTCCCTTACATTGCTTTTAGTGGAAACATGAATTTGTGTCCATTTTTGTACTTAATGCAAAACTGACACCAAAATACATTTTCAGTGCCCAAGGGTATATTTTACGATCGTATGCACACATATTAGCCGTTGGAACTGAATCATGTTACATTTTAAAGTTGACATTGATTAATGTCTCTGCAAGGCTCTAATTAGGACGATTTTCAGGGTAATATGTCGTAGTGATCTCGAGTGATCTTGTCGAACACACATTCTTTAATTATAAAGCCAAGGTTGAATTAATTAGAGAATAGTAGGTCCAAGAAGCACTTGATTGTGCTGGATTTTTCTTATCTCGTTTCTTTACTTGAATTACAAGGAACAACAATAACCCACACACCATAACACTCCTGTGTGTTACTCAAATTGTCCTTTGTTAGCACAGTATCAGTTTCTATTTATACCGATTTCATTAATTGTCAAGTCTTGAAAAATGGAAAAATCCAGTGATACCATAATGATAGCCTATACGGAATAATATAACTTTTCTCTGACACCGGATTAAAATATTAACGCCGGAAGTACCGCAATGCTAGGTTCCCTACTTAGCCATAAATCATGGTCAGTTTTACCCTCTAGTTCACGTGTGTTCTTCTGTCATCGGCACTTTTAATTAGATTACTTACATTTAATATGGTGGGACTTCGAAAGAGCCAGCTTTATTAAAGAGAATTCGGACCTTCAATGAAAATACAGAGATTACCAGAGGTGTGGTCGTATCTATAGAGTAAGTGAAGACAATACTGAACATAAAAAGTGAGGTCTAGGTTTCCATGAAATCGTTTTGAGCGATGTATTCAATAATTTCAAGGTTTAAGTTCTATGCTAGTAAAAAGAAAGCTGAGGGAAAGGAGCTCAAAACAGTTCAATTCGCAAAACTCTCGTTTGAAATCGACTCTGGGTCCATGCAGGACACCATGCCATATTTACTTCTCCCAGATATTTGGGTAAAAATTTCCTACATGATTGATTTTGGAAGGTGTTTTGATAGAGATTCCTATGTCACGTCATTTGCAACCGACGTGAACTCGCAATGGTAGCTCGAACGATTCTTTACCGACGTTTTCGCTCCTCAGACTTGGTCCACTTTTTTGATCACAAAGAATAGAAGGTGGAGCGTTCCCTAACGCTCCAGTCTCTTCTTTTCTTTATTTTCCTCATCCTTGCGAAATACCCCGCACTTATTCCTTTATGATTGCCATGCGAACAGCCATGAAGACCAATAACGCGCAACAAATTATCATGCATAGGGAACATGCTGGAAGAAATCCCGTGGAAATGTTTTATGGCTTCCTCGGGATCGCCACAGATGCCGGAGTGAGGTACTGACATACAACACTGGAAACTACATTTTACTTCTTGAGCCTGTATTACTTGAGATATGTTTTGAATAATCTCTTTTTCGTTTTTATAGCTAAAGCCTACTTCTGATGGAAATTTTCCCTTCTCATTTCGAAATTTAGCACGTCGATTTTTAAACCAGACCTGAAAAACAACACAAAGCGTTCAGCTAGTAAAGTGAGCTTCGCTCATGCAAGTTACCCCAAATAGCTTTTGTTTAATGAGGAAAGTCATTTGCAAGTCCATTCGGGACGTTTTATCAGTTAACTGATGCATTCTGCGCTGTGCGTACTGACGCTCATTTGGGATGGTGATAGCGCTCTTGATAGAGGCCATCACTATCATTGTTTAAGACTTTATTCCATGAGAAAAAAAGTTTCTATCCTCGCCTTCCTTTAAATGGTATTCAATGGTTTGTCTGAAGTACGATCCTAAGCACGTGAATTGAAACCAAAATCGGGGTATTTGCTCTCTAAGAGAACGACACTGGTGTCCCCATCCCTTTCATGGGATAATCTTGTGTTTCCCTATCTCCTTTCTTGCTCACACAGCAGCAGTAATGGCTACAAAAGACATTATAGAAAATTCTGAATTATCAATTTATAAACTCACCTGAATCCTGCCCTCCTGCAGATTGGTCTTTGCAGCAAGTTCTTCCCTTAATTCTACATCTGGATAATGTGTTTTATAGAAGAATTGTTCCAGGATTCTTAATTGCTGATGCGTAAAGGCAGTGCGCGGGCGTCGTGGTGTGCGGCGAGTAGTCTCTTGTCGAGCTTCTAGTATGACATCTAAGAGGAGGTAAGCATTAGTGAGCCATCAGTTAGGGCGCAGTTTGGTTTATAATTTTAAGAAACATGGATAGAGGTGTTTGCTGTCCGATACAATAAGCGTGCTCGAATTCAGCAGCTGTTAAAGTAATTAAGCCAAATTAAATTTCATACTTTCGATTTTTTCCACCGAATCCAGGAACGTGCTGTAGATTTGTTTAGCTTGTTAGGTATTGAACTATCGTGAAAAATCTCACCATGATGATAATCCCACAGTTAAATAGTGCCTTTGATGCAAATCTATATCGAAAAACCCGTCACAATAACATTTGGCGCTCGCTGGCCGGGTCAGTCCAAGTGTATCTTTCCGCGTATCGTATATCAAAATAGTTGGCCTTCTCACCAGATGTGATGAGTTCCGCACAAAATGCGCTAATAAACAAGCTTAAGCTTCAACAACGCCATTTAAGCTTTTCTCGTCGCAGAGGATTAAAGAATTAGAGAAGCATTTCCCTTTATCACTATACACTATGAAAGTTTGATTTATTAGTGGTCTTGTTTTTCCGACAGCCATCTATCAGCAGCCATTTAGTCAGTTTATATTGAGGTATGTACCAGCTTATAATTTACAAGATTAAATTGTTTTCATTCCCAAATGCACGCCGACAGACTCAGTGAAAGATTGAGTCTTGGAATCTCCTCTATCTAGCTACATTAGGCGTAGAAGTCTAAATTCCTATTTCAGCTTGGACCCTAGATATTCATCTAGTTTGACGTGTAGGTGTCAGTTAATGTTATACTGAGCCACATGTTGCCCCCGTCTGACAACAGTCAGTCAGACAAGCCGGCCATCCCTCAGGCTCGATATCTGCCGCTCTTATGGGCCGCGGCTTAGATAACTTAACCTTCTGTTTGATCTAATAAATCGCAGCTGAAGTAAAAATAAAAATAGCAACAACAAAACTAAACATGAAGCTGGCTGCCAACCCCTATAGTTTGGTTTCTGATCCTTACGCGGGTACTTCTCAGTCTGTTCGTTGTTGCTCTAGAGAATTGTCATACTTTGCCCTCGCCCAGTTAAACGCGACAAGCACTTCTTTTTAAAACAATTTTATTACTGGTTGGGCCTCGAGGATGCGAAAACTCAAATTGTTTTAGGGTTTAGGAAGTGTTTCATCAAGCGTACCACCAAAACCACACAAAATAGTACGAGTGCAACTATTCTCTTTCCCTCTCTTTGGAAAACTACCAAAGCTACCAGGAACAAAATGAAGAGCGTACTACTAATTTTGGTCACGAAATCATCAATCATTTATGCTTTTTCAACACAACCAAGTTTTCTTGCCGAAAACTAACGGGATTTGGTTTTCGTGTAAGGGAATCATCATGTAGGAGAGAAAAAACATGATACAGTCAATGTGGTTCAGTGATAAAAAATGAGTACCCATTTCAGTAGTGACGCAAGAGAAGACATCAGAGAAAAGATCTCAAACGTAAGTCACTGTAGCTTTAGAAAGTGGCTTCTTAATTCTTGAAAGGGTTCTAGTTTTCTTTATGGTCATAAAATGAAACATTTTTCATTTTGCTCTCCATAGTGTGTTTTATCTAGATCGTAAATCTCTAGCCGGCGCCAAGAAGACACAAGAATACCTTTAGTCCTTTGATAAGCAGAGGTTTTAATAGGTGGGTCACGAAATCACCAGATTTTCCGTAAAGCATAAGCTTTCACTTTGATCAATGCTTTGTTTAAGATTGCGGTCTATTTAACGTTAAAGGAACAGCTGATACAGATGACACATATAAATCGATTACGATTTCGTTGGGCGGAAAGGCCATACACAAGAGCGTTTACCTTTCTTGTTCAGGTGGTGGTTTCTAACCTGCCCCATGTACATCATCAACAAGAGACATACGACCGAATGTAAATTATTTTGAAACGTCTTGTTATCTTGTTTGTATTAACTATGTGTTTGGCGCCGCCCAATCGAACTTCTCATCACACTTGCGTTGTGCACAACAGCTTTTCCACTTCGCCTTTCATGTCTTCATTGCGACCGCTCTTTGTACACATTACCTAATGGTAGTGGACTACTCCATTTAACGGTCCTTTCGAAGCCCTCGAACGGGCGACAAGTAAAAATTAATTCCTCTGAAGTCTATACGAAATAATTTACCGAGCTTAGCTCTATGGACATTCAAATATAGTAGGGAAAGGAGCTTTTTGTCTCCACGCCAGTTCCCAGTGAACTAAAGGTGGTTTATCAAAACTTCTCACATAACTGCCGACAGAGACATTTCTTAAAAATTACATTACCAAACAGAGAGGTGGTATCCAGAAGTGTTTCTCGTGACCTTGCCAACAAACCGTTCTAACGACACTCAAGACTTTGTTTTACTTTAATTGCATTTGCCCGTGCTAAACTAAAACTTACCAGCCAGCTTTACAGCTAACGATAGCGCCTCTTTCGAAGGTTGCGTTTTTGTCTCCTCCTCGACTGTTTTAGCATAGGGCTCCTTCAGAATGTTCTCTATAGAAAATGGATGGGTGTCCATGGTCTGTTTATGCACGCTCCCTCTAAAAATGATAAGATCCTCCGTATGTCTAAAGAAGGCCGGCACTGCCTTCCCGTTAAATGACAAGAACAGAGTTGAGATACGATGGTGTGTGTTTGATCGTAACCAGCTGTTAATGCGATTATGCCGAGCTATTTGACATTGATAAATGTTCCCGGAAACCATCCAATGAAGGGCGGGCGAAAAAAACAAGAAAAAAAGTCGAACGGTCCTTATCGTGCCTGGAAGTGCACCGTGTGTGGCTGCAATTTAGCATCTAGGTAAATACCGATTAAAATAAAATAGCGTCATTCAGGCAGCTTCATGGTGAGTAAGGACCTTTATAACGGATGTGCTGACCTCCATTCGCATTCTCAGCCGGCCCGAAGTTGTCGTGTGCTAATTGTATTAAAGTGTAAAATCAACACTTTTGTTCGGAATCTTAACTTTGCCTTCTTAGAGTTAAAATTAAACAATCCAGACTTGAAAAGAACTCGACCTTTTATGAAGATTCATTTGAGTCGTTAAAATACCAAAATGTAAGATACGATAGCTTATCTCGAGTTCTGATCAGATTCCATAATTATTGTCCTCATTATGATATACCTTCAAGACCTCAACAGTAGGGATTACCCAAAATTTGTCTAGAATACTATTAGATTTCACAGCTTCCCTCATCTCAGAGAGGATTTGTGATAGCAGTCAAAAAGCACAATCTTCAACACGTTATACCAAGAAAAATGTGGAGATGAATGGGTTGCGTTTTTCACCGCCAAACATCTGTCAACAACCTTTAATTAGCTTACGTTAGAAATTTATTTTGTATTTCAAGACTAGTTCAATTCTTATTTCAAAATGCCCCACAAAGGAGCCTTTGTATACAGAAAGGATATGAGCAGTGGCTTAATCATACATCACTTTAGTTATGGCAGTTTATTTTTTATTTTTTTTATTTTTTTTCCAAACCAGACAGAACTATTTTCTATGGTTCTCTTAGATAGACAATCAACCGCCTGGCTTCTCTAGATTCTTCCTCTGGTAAGCTTTTCCGGTATGTACTTATTTTCCTTTTCATGCATTTTTGCCTGATTTTATACGGATTTTATTCTATTTTTCACTTTTTGATTTGAGGAATTTCATCCCCTGAAAATCATTTTTGATAAAATGCAAATCAAGGGTAAAGAGGAGAATTAGAGATAAACGTAGATACGTATGCGTACTGGCCATGTTACACGAATTCATTGAACCATCGCGAACAATAACTACCAAAGATTATTATCAATTTTTGGTCCATTGTCATGGCCTTATTACAAACCATAAATGTCATAAAAGGACGGAGCCTCGTCACTTGGGATGGCTTCACTCTAATATATAGAGATACCAAGCGGAGAAGACAAAATATCGGATCTACTCCCTGTTACTACCCTAGCTATTGCAGACACTCTGGGTTCTTCCTTAACCGTTACTGCATTGCGCCTGACGTCATTTGTAAATACTGTGTATTTTTCGAACACTTTTTACCTATAATTGTCTATTGTGATACCTTTTCCATCCATCAGTCTTTTCAGACCCCGCCCTGGCTTTCCTGTCCCATATTTTCTATTTTTCTCAGAATTTATCCTTTGATCTAAGGCTTAACCGTCCAATTTGCTTATTTCGTGTCCTTGTTGTCGAAAGCATCACTTTGACCGTGATTCATTACCTTAATCCTTGACTAAGTTATAGGTAAGAAGGAAAGGCATACCACAGAGAGATTAAAAATCGTGAGATTTCGATCTTCGATTACCCTTAATCGGCTTTCAAACATTTGGCAAATAAAGATAATTATAAATTCATACTTTTAATTTTTAATTTTGTTATTGAAAAGTCGGTAAGTTAAGCATATTGCTTGTTAACATGATGCACTTGTATGTCAGTTACAATACCAAAGAAAATTTTAATGAACTTCGCGAAAAGCTGAAAGTGCTTGACTACATCCCTTTGGAAGAATTACATATCCTCAAGGTTTATCACACGTAGTATCGCTATTCCCCGCTGTGTTGCCCCACCAAATATCGAACGTGCAAGTAGGAGCACGAAAATCATTGAATAGTAGATAAAAAAGCATTCTGCAACTGTAAGAGAAAAATCTTCACTGGACTAGCAAACACGATTATGGTTTTGTTGGCAGAGCAGGAAATACTGTAGACGCCCATCCGGGGAGGAGAGAGCAGGAAAAGAATTATGGCGTCTCTCTGAATGTAGACGACGAGAGTTTGGCATGAACTAACAAAAAGACACGCAAGCTTTAAAGTAGGTGAACAAGTTATGATCCAAACTCAGACTGTCTAAATTAGATGTCTCCAATAGAAAATAATGCCACTTATTCCCTATAGATGTCTCGAAGCTAAGAAGAGAAGAAAAACGTCTTTTCCGACATGCCACTTACAGCGCAAGTTCGCCTTTTTGATATCTAATATGCATAGCAGGAATCTTTGTTGAAAACCTCGTGGGACTCGGCGTAACAACGCCATTTACAGCGTGGGCGTGAGGATATCTGTAGCTGGGGTAGAGTCACAATGATAACCTAAGCCATGGCTTAACCATTAAAGTGAAAAGTCCGGGCTCGAGCCTTACTTCGTGTTCCTTGGACACTTTCTCCCAGGAGTATGAATGGTCACTAAGTAATCCTCTAGAATTTTGGCGTATTACTGGGAGTATACGAGTGATAAACTTGCGCTCCATCAAGGAAGAGCAGCCACAGAAACTGTTATAGCTGCTACGGCTATAAATCACCGCGATGCACCCACCAACGATAGGGCGAACGGTCTAAAGTTGTGATGTTCAGGGATAACGGATTTCTTGTACACTTCCAAATTCTAAATAAGTCGCCGTACCTTAAAGTAATTTACATGTTAACCCGTGACAAATGTTTAAACCATAACAACTTTAGAACTAAATTCCATTTTATTACTAATATTGTCTCAATTCAAACTCAGTCGTACATACTAGTTTCTAATAGCGCAAAGGTATAAACTTGAGAAATGACTTAAATAAATGTATATTACAAAAATGTTTATAAATAAGTTTGACTGATATCAAAATTTTTTTCTGTAAATGTATATACACATTCAATATTTACATTTGCCTTAAGTTTTACCTAACAGACGATTTTTGAAGGCGTTTTTCCGTCACCTCTTCTAGATTTTATGCCCTGACGAGAGAACTTTCTACATTCCTGTAAAGATTACAGACATGATACCATAAATTACATTGATGGTGCGAGAGAAGCTGTAGTCTGCGCTGTTTACATCACAATATGGCTTTGTAAGCATGAGTCTCTCATCGTATTCCTAGCATGTTCTTTCTTTGAAAATATTAATAAATAAATGCTGATTATATTTTACAATAAAGCTTTTCTTATAAACTTAGTGAATAATTGCCATGTTGGGATACAGCTGTTGCACATTAACTGTACGCTGGGGATAGTTTACAGTGTCGTAATAAAGCCACTCAGGCGCATGAGCATAACCATATCCTGAGAGCAGCCTAGGATCAAATGGAAAAGACCTCGAAGAGAAAGGCGATGACACGTATGCAGGGCTTAGTGGAGCTGGACGTGTAGGAAGTGCAATACTACGTTCTTCTAGATCTCGGTCAACCTTCAGCTGCTTATTCGGGTGATAAGAATGGGCCTCATCCTCAACAGGTGAACCTTCAACATCTTGAGGATCATCATCGTCCACATTTTTCCTCTTTTTTGTTTCTTGTTTATCCTCACTTTCCAGATCACCTGTTTCTTTAGATCCTTTAACTTTACGATACTTGGCACGACGATTTTTAAACCACACCTAAGAAACAAGACTTGTGATAAGAATACGGCGGCTAACTGAGTAAAAGTCAGAACGGAAGAAGGCCTAAATAAGATAGTGATGCTGTAGCGTCAGTTGCTTATTTGACTTCTGCAGTTTTTTAATCCATCTGTATACATTATTAAAAATTCGCCGCCCAAAACTAGAGTTTTGCGAATAGCCCAAAATAACTAAATCTCAAATATTTTTTGAGGAAACCATTGGTTTACTCGCTTTGACTGGAATGCGAAAATTATGGCTATCTTTATAAGAATAATTAGGACGAGGTCATGTCCTCGAACGTCTGGGCCTATTTTTTCATAACGATTTTTTTCCCGATTTTGAGGCTATTATGTAGCACATATGTGTTTACATTGCTAAAGGATTGTCTAATCACTAAGTCAACTTGCTAACAGCACCATCTGTTACTACGACGATATTCTAGGTGACTTCCTCCTCTGAATGTGCCCCTTGCCATAACTTGTATCTAAGTTTAGCCTATCTGTTTGATATCATTAAGCCTATTTTAAACTATAATTCTCAACTACAAAGAATGCTAGGTCATACGTTTTTCGTACAGTGTCATGTAGAAAGATTTGCAGAAACATTTGCTTAAATACAGAAAGAAACATTTGCAACACTTAACTCTGGAGAATATAAACCAAGTTTTGAAAAACCGCATCGTTTTAAGATATAACACTCTCGTGAGATTATCGCCCGAGCAATCTTTGACGTCCCTGGAGACACACCCTCTGAGAGGTAAAGATTGAAACTTATTCCTTATTTACTGAGTTGATGAGCAGATGTGGGTTTAAAAATTTTGGAGTGAAACTAACCTGGATCCGTGATTCAGGCAGACTTGTGTAAGCTGCCAGCTGCTCTCTTAACATAAGGTCTGGATAGTGAGTCCTGGCAAATGTCCTCTCGAGAGTCTCAAGTTGGAACTGGTTGAATGTGGTTCTTGTGCGCCGAATTTTCCGTCCTTCCATACAGCTGACCTTTAATATAATGTCTGTAGCAGAAAAGAGCATACAAAGTTTAAAAGTCCCTAATGTAGCACTGTCATCATTTTCAAAACGGCGATATAGACTTTTAGACTTGCATTCCAAAGTCTATTCTTAAACCAAACCGACCCACGCGGCTGGAGTTTATTCAGAAGCGAATAAATTTTTTCGATTTCTTCCACTGAAATGCATGCTCTTCCATCACTTCCAAACTCTCCCACTTTAAGTGTCAGGAGAATTCAATGCCACAACGTAAAAGAAAAGATTCCAGTCCTGATCAACAAATTCTGGGTTCTGCATTGAGTTCTATTTTTACTTTCAAAGGTTTATCTCAGAAGAATGGCACTCCTTCTTGCTTATTTTCTTGCTTTCCTCCCAAAAAATGGTGAAAACAAGCTGCTAATTGAGTTACACAAGAACGTGCCGGTAACACGTTTTTTTTTATGTTTTACGGAAGAGGAAAGACCCAGGTGGGATTTCAGATGGATTATTGCACGCTCAAAACGGAATTATTGCATAGCTGTTATATCCTTTGTATGTTCTTGTGATAACTTAGGGATTTCTGTCTTCAGCTAAAGCTGGCTAACTGAATGTAACGATATGCTTATTAATCGTTGTTCGGAAATAAATTTGGCTCATTTGTTTAAACAGCTTTCTACAGCACACGTATGGTAGAAGTCGGTTTAGCTTGTGATCTGACAGTTTTTATTCAAGCGACACTCTCCTTTTGTTACTCTTCATTCGCAATTTCCGGCGTTCTTTGCAACCCTTTCTGACAATCATTACCTGACTGCTGATTACAAAGAGTGCCGTCAAAGCCACTCGGGAAGATGCATCTTAGAAAGTCCATAATATTAATGCAACCGATAGATTCCATCGAGAGTGATTTATGACGCTATGACTAATGATTTACCCGTGAACCCTCAGTGTAAACAAATGATGGACAGTCTAAAGAAATGCATCCTATCTTGATGCCAGCAAAGAATACACTGTCTCTCCAAAGGTGGGATTATGACCCATCCAATTAAGAGCAAGCTCTTTACGTTATTTGTGATGATAAGGGGGCCGTCTGACAACAAACGAGTTAAAAATAAAAAGAACAACCTTATACATACAAATCGAATGGTTAATTTAAGTTATCTCATGACTTTGCAACTCCTGTGTACACTCCTCCACCTGAAACTGTCAATATCCATAATTAATAGTTCCTTACAGCCTGACGATGTGTGCTGATAAATCTGTTTAATTGTTCTCTTATTGACGATAAGGCTTACTGGGCGCCGAACCATTGCAAACAAAGCTTATGAATTTGTCAGAACTGACATTCCCAATTAAGCACAGTAACTAGCGAACAAAGGAAGAAAGCCATATCGTGATTAATGGGACTTTCAATGGATCAGTGCTAAAAGAAATGACGATGTTTTAAGGACAGCGTCGTAAACAAGGGCACCGCCCTTGGAGTCAGTAAGTAGAGGTTGATTTCGTTTTGGAAAAGAACGTTTTCTCGAGTGCCAGATTGCAAATGTTGATCTGATAAATTGACTGAAAGACTTCAAGTCAAAACATCTTTGGTCGTTTATTCCATCTATATAACATCGGTAAAACAAAGTGGTTATATGGAAAGAATTCGTTAGAATCCATGTGTGCGTTTTGGTTTTTTTATTTTTCTCTTTCTTTTTTTTTTTTTTAACTAACAGAAGTCGAACTTTGCATATTGAGATTTCCTTATTTGAATAACCAGGAGACAAGTATTGCTGTCATCAGTAACACTGCACTTTTGTAATCGGGTAAAACTTAGTTATTACAATGCTGGCAACCACCTGTAAATAAACTGGCTTCAATTCTAAAACGCGAAACCAAAGAATTGTCTATGAATGAGAGTGGCTGTAGATTGGAAATACTTAGACAAGGAAAACTGTATGTGCAACATCTTCATACGGACATGCCATTCAAAATGCGTCGTTAAGTCCAACTTGTTATCATTTCGTCTGAAGTAATCAATGCATAATTAAAAATGCACAGTCTTTCCACTTGTCTGTGGTAAAGAACTCAATGGATCTGCGCTGAACAGAAAAAAAGGAATTTCCTGTGGCTGACGGAAGCTTTGTATTGGGGTTTTTAAATCTCTTGTAAGTTGCGGATTGCGGAAATGCAATTGAAGGATGGTGAGGACAATGTAAATACTGTTTTTTTATTCCACGAGTCAGACTTAATTGCCAACATCCCGAGTACTAACAAAACACTTGCGCCTTTTTTGGCTAGTCCACGGTCCCCGTTTAAAATCCAAAATCACCTGGAAACATTTTGAATAAAACTTGTTTATCTAAGACTTGAAAGGTTCAATAATATGCCTTATTTTAGCTACGAAAAAACACGGATTAGACTTGAGGTTTGGCTTCGACGAAAACCACATGGATGAAAGATACCACTAACACTCGCTGGATCACTTGACCCAACACGGAAAATATAAGTTAATTATGCGATGGTTAATTTTTGGCTGTAATTTGTGATTCCGTAAGGGTAAAAAATTGGCGCCTCTGAATTACATCATGTGCTTCCAAAGAACCGAAAAATGGCCGAATATTTTTAGATTTAAGAGGATTGTTGAGTAGTTGGAAATATAGAATGAGAAGAATTTCCCGCCTGAATTGAAAACAGGCGAGCACCTTCCTTAAGTCACTTTCGTGGCTATCTAGCGGGGCACCTGAAGTTCACGGAAATCAGTATTAAAGTACAAAACAAAGATACATTCTCATAACTCTTTGGCCCACCAAAGTGTTTCATAGCCCTAAACTAAATTACATTATCGTAGTGTTGCCTTGTTAGGAAGGCTCTATTGAAGTTTGACTAACCTGCCATTCTCTCTGCCAGTGCCAAGGCTTCAGAAGTCGGTGCTACCTTCAGGATGCTGCTAGGACCTTGTGTGTCTTTTAAAATGCTTTCAATAGAGAAAGGATGACGCTCCATGTCTTAGTCTTTGTGTTGAACTGTAGGCAAAAATTGGTGAAAAGGTTGTCACTTACAAGTCCAAAGCAAATCCGTTTTTCAGGAATGTTTTTGAGTTTTTTTTTTTTTAATCCTCTTATGATGGTGCGCTGTATTTGTTCCAGCGGCACTTTAAGTTTTGAGAAGTAGAGATTTCTTTGCCGCTTGATTTATTATTGGAAGGAAGCTTTCGAATCGTAAGACAGTCTAAATGGCGTAAAAATTTATCGCTTTTATACTCGGGTAAAATCTACTGTCTTATTGAATCTCACAGTGGCGCACTATTTTGCTATTTAGTCAGACTCCACGCCAACAAAGCCAATACTCCAAGCTACTCCACGATGCATGTTTGCAAATATTGTTCGCGGTCATTGGCCAAGTTTAATTAATTCACGCAAGTTTCGCTCAAATCCTCCATTAGATTTTCAGAGGTAGGACAAAACGGGTCACAACTTTGAACTTCTAACCAATGCTTAGATTGTCGTATTGAGACGTACTTGTCTGTAAGAGTTCCCGTCAAGAATAACGTAACTTCTCAAAAGCACTTGAAGATTGAATTAAAGCAAACAATGCACTCGGTTCGTAACCTAACTACGTGATTAAGTGATTTAAACATTTACTGCAATTGTTTCGTAACTATGTTGAATAGCTTTCTGAAGGAAAAGATGTACCTACCAAACCCACGGTTCAGTGTTCCTTTACAGTGTGTTGGTAAACTGATAGACGCACTGCGTGGCTTAGTCCCCTTGAATTTAAACTAACCGTTTGGGAGTGGCTTAATGATAACATAATAAGCTTGCTGTCAGGAAATTGTCGTGGTAAATGACAGCGGCATGCCCATGAAGACAGCGCTACGGACATGTCGTTTTATTTCATTTTTTGTGATTATAATTCGCCGAAAACCCCGTGCGGAAAGTAACGCATCGACTCCGTTGTTGTCTACAAATCTTCTTGGCTGAATTACTCAAATTATTGAATTTTACGTTAAGGCATGGAGTTATGGACTATGGATGCCAACACGAAGATTTAATTTAGCGCCTGAAGGAGCACAGAGGTTTATGTTAATTCTTGATTCAACAGGAAACACGATTTGAGTCAAAGAAGCGGGCTAAAAAAAACAAATAATATTTTCAAACCAAGGTATGAGACCTCAGCAAACTTCTTCCCGGCGACGTTAAATGTAGTATAGACAAATGTCTCTGTAATCATTTGTTACAGAAAGGTGTTGCTTAAGAGTTTTAGGAAAGCGATTGTTTTAAACTGCGGAAACATAAATCGTTTTATGTGAACAATGAGTCCCTTTTAGGGTTCTCCGCCGATAAGCACGACAGTCGCCCGCATCCTGCATATGTAAATACTGGTTAGCACATCTTATTGTGTCAGCAGAAGATTTCATTTTTTTCTACCGAAGGATTATCTTAATTCTTTTATTAACCCAGGTCACGCATGTAGCCTGACGTCATACTAAACTAGGGGCTTTAGGAAACAAACAAATAATCTAATTATGGTTAAATTACCACTTGTCTTCCAGTAGTTAGAGGCTCAAATGAGATTTCACTTTCAGGCTTGAGGTGACCATCCTTCAATTTACACAGTTCAAAACATTTTGCTGAAAAAAATAGAAGCACTTTAGTTTTAGCAACAGCTAAATATCCCTAATTATAGAGAAGTTTGTACTTTTAACGTCTCTCGAGCTAATCGGAAATACTTTATTTTTCCTTTTCGCCCCCCTGCGTGGTATTAAGAACATCGCATTATCCGTTGATCACGTATTGCTTGTCACTCTCTCTTAGTAGTATATATATATATATATGTATATATATATATCTATCCGAGTCTTCAGTTTCTTGTATCTGTGGCAACCAAGGCGTTAGTCTTTGTGGTTACGGTTACTGATTCACAACTCGCGCTTAAAGCCCGATGGAAATCCGTTTAATAGCTTTATTATAATCATATTATATCCGAAGGGGGCAATAGAGCTGCTATGAAAGAATTCATTAGTTTGGCTTTAACACCATAAAATGGACCTTGCATGTCATTCACAAAGATGCAAGGCTTAGCTTGGCCATTGGGATCGTGTCGGTAAAAGAAATCCACTCATTCAGAATCGCGTGATCTCATTGAAGGAAGTCATACCAAACCAATCTAACAAAGAGTACAATATAACACCTTTATATGAACCGGCTGCCGACGTTTCAACAAGAAACTATTATTATTGAAATGCTGTGGCTAACCGAGTGAATTTACTACTTCACTCTGAACTTACGCCCTTGAAGAACATTCGGCCATGCTCGAAATGAACTTTTTACCGAGTCTTAACGAATTAATCGAGGCTGATAGCCAAACACTCTCTGTGAAGGACCCTATCCAGATTCCCAATACAGCTCACTCGTACATTCAAGCTGTGAAAAATTACAGGAAGGCCGTGACGAGTGAATGGGCTTCGTTCTGATGTAAAACTTTCTTCTCCTCAATAATGATTTTCCTGAGCTGCCAAAAGCAAGGAGAACGTGCAGATCTTTAAATATTGACTACGCTTTACAAAAAATTAACCTTCTTATCAATATTGTTAATGAATCGGCGATCAATCTATCTAGCCACCTTATGATAATATCCTTTTATTCCCAGTGCCTAGCTAAGGGCTGCCACTGTTTTCTCATCCTTATTTTCCTCTACTTCCTTCTCTCTTGCAGTATCATCGCGTGGTTGCCTAGATTAGATATTCGGTATTCTTACCATCTGATACCTTGATGCAGCCATTGATTTAACGAGGGAAAAGGCATGTAGCAATTCCGAAGCTTTTTCCTAGAGCATTTTATACAGAAAGGCTAACTTCTAAATGAATTATGCTGAAGTTTTAATAGCATGAAACCGAACATACTACACATTTGTTTTGCATGGATGCCTGTTGGGGTGCCCTATCAGCAAAATCATGAATTGAGTTGCCTGCGAGAAGAACTATTTCTATGGGAGAATTTTTTGCTTCTTTTTCACTGTTCACAAACGAACGAGGTTTGAGAAGCTTGAAACTCTTGAGGTGTATTTAGCAATGACATTAATTCTTAAGTTGCCGTCTTCAATTTAATCTATTTTAATCTTCAACTTCCGTAACCATCTTTGAAACGTTTTGCTTTATTCTTTTATGTCTTCCTATGTGAGCTATTATTTGTGCATTTTCTTCAGCTAAAAGGCATAGAGGAGTCAAAGTATCGTGAATTAAGTTTGCCAGTAAAAGGCACCTTTCTGATAAGACTACTGAAGTATGGATTTCCGGATTAAAGTCGCTCTTGATAATAATCAAAATCTAAATTTTAGGAGACACGTACACGTACCTGTAGTAGGAAATAGCACAGGTGTTGTAAACCCTGAGTTACTGACGTCGCTTCCTCCGTTAAGTGGTGGAGGTTTACTTGTTAATTTTGCCGCAATAGCCTACAAATGGGCTTAACTGATCAGAAAAGGTCACCGCCTTCGTCGGTCTTCTAAGATTTCTTTCATACTTATGTCACCTTTGTTAATAAATGACGATCGAGAAGTGACTATTTATTTTTTTGTTATCCAGGTGTATACTTACTGAGACTAACAAAAGTGAGTTACCTTTGAATGGTTTTTTGTTTGGCAACCAAGAAACTTTCAAGGAACAAACTCTGTATCTCGACTTAAGGGAATTAAGCGAAATTTCAAAACTTCCCAACAATAGTGACAGTTTAATGCATTCGTTTATCTACGTGTTTAAGTCTTTTTTCTATATCAACTGCCTTGGTAGAAGAAACAATCCTTTACGACTATTTTCACAACGTTCATTATAAAATCGTCTTCGATAAGTCCTCCCCAATGGTTGAACACCGCAGACCATAATTCACCCCTAAATCACATAGTGAGCCATAGCCACGTTGTTGAGCTTTTTAAAAGTCACTCAGAACTCAAAGCCTAATCAAGGTTGGAGCTAAATGCATTAATAATCATGGGAATATTAGAACTAAATTGATTCTTCACGCCTAAATGGAAACACAATCGATAATACAACCAGCTAAGAGGAAGGCATTTGCGGCAATCAACTATATTTACCGCCAAAAGTGTGAAAGGACAATTGCTCGATGTAGAGCAAAAAAAGCAACAAAGAGTTAAATGCATCTTCTTCTTTATTTCATAACTGGGTTATTAAATCGTCTGAAGATTAGCCCCCCTAGTGATGTGGACAAGTTGACAGTTACTGTCTCACCCACTGAACTCAAACATCCCACACGATGATGGAAAATTAAACGCTTCAATAAGACCGGCACATGTCGAGAAACACAATGCCAACTTAAAAGCTACCGGAAGTGATAAAAGTTTAAAGGATTAAAAACCAATAATAAAGAAATTTAATAAGGTTTCGTGTGCATTGAAATAAACTATCAGAGGGATTGGCAACCAACAAGTGCATCCATCGCAATTAGTCGCATTCTACGAAGCTTAACAGAGTGTAACTGTATGTTTCAAGAAAGTTTATTTCTCTATGTAGAAATTAAAGCTTCAGTTTGGGTAAACATCTTCATGTCATATCGCTGAAAAGACAGATAATGATTTCAAGTAATTTTGATACCCTATACAAAACAGTTAATCTACTGTTGTTTATTGTAAGAGATTTAAGTCTGAATAAATTTTTGCAAGACAACATTTCCAGCTTGATGACGGTTTTTCGCGAACTACTAACTGTTTACCGATCGTCAAACGCCTATTTTAACAGAGAATGAACAATTTACTAAAAAACGTTCCTCAAACGTTACTAGATGTACTCAGTAAGGACATGAATCAAGGAACGTATGAAACAAAGATCTTCCAAAGCTCTTCATCTTTATTTCGGAAACTCAGCCAACTGTTTACTTGTGAGGCGTGAGTAGTCCAGTGGTCAGTGCGCTGGGTCGGTTGGCCTGGGTTCAAGTCCTGGCTGGGGCATGATGTTGTGTCCTCAAGCAAGACGCTTCACTCACACTACTTCGTCTTCTCGGATAAGACGTAGGTCCCGTCTCCTGCAGGGTTAGGGGTAGGAGACGTAAATTTCCCATGCACGAGATTACTGTGTGGTGACCGGTAGATGTCCTCCCCGGGATGGGATGGGTGGCCCGGGTGAGATCGCTACATGGACTAAAGCGGCTGCCAGAGGCGCCTGATAAAAATGCTGACGTCCGATCCCAACCTTATGATACTGTTGCTTCTTTTGAGCGACAAATTTTCAATACAAGGCGAGAGCTTGCTACCAAACTTAAATTTTTCTATGAAAACCAGGACAAGACAATGCGACTGTGATTATTTTAAGTGTTCAATTTAACAGGCTCGACCAGCTTATTGCTATTAAACATGTATTCCCATAGTTTGGCATCATAAAATCGAACTCGTAAATAATTTTAACAGGGGAAAGGTAGAATTTTCCATTTCTCCAGTCTATCTTTTGACTAAACACTAGTCCCAATTCTACTTAATTTTTTCTTTCTTTCGTTTTTTCTTCATTCCTAGATCCTACTAATCCCAGATCTAAAGTTCGTTTTCCTGGTAAAAAAAATTAAAAAAAAAAAAAAGATTATGGACAAAAAAACAACGAAAAAACAAACAAAAAGCAAACATACAAAATACAACAAACAAAAACAGAAGTGAGCAAACAAAAACAAACAAACAAACAAACAAAACTCCCATCTCCTATTTTATCCCGTCCTCTGCCCTGACGGTTAATTTCGTGTTCTTTGACAATCCTTCCACTCGAGCGGCTGCGGTTAATGAAAACGTGGCTTTTTCAGATCATTTTTCGGACCTTACACCTCCTTATATCTACGCGCCAAGGAAGGGTCCTTATACAGAACATTTTATGCAGTGAAGTGCAGCTTCACAAATTTATCTCTGAGAGCAATCATCTAAAAGTTTTGCTTTAAGACAAGTCTTCTGGGAATTGAAAATTTAGGTATGAGTAGGTCGATCCGGTGTTTACCTGTATGTACACATATGTCACTATCAAATGATTTTTTTTCCCTTAATGATAGTCATAAAAATAAGACCTTAACTTGCGGTTTATCCTTTTCAAAACAAGAAACTCATTAACAAAACACTTACGTTCTTTTCTGCTTTACAATGATCGACTTATCGTGTTAGCAGTGAATGCAAAAATAATCAGTGGGACGTGTATCGTCGTCATATGAACCATGACGACTAGAAACTATTGCAAACAATTACTCTTATTCTAAAAATACTTTTCATCAGCAAATCTTCGAGTCATTTCTTCGTGTCTGTAGTTAAAAATGTGCTCTAAAGTGAAACTAAGAAAAGAAAAACACTGTTAACTCCTTGAATTCTCCTGTCTTTCATAACGTCCTTATTTCCAATGACCTGGAATGCCGGTCTCTTTGAACCATTTCGGTTCAAAACTTTCAAACGGATGACCTTGAAGAAAACGGTTGGAATTTTTGAACTTAGTTATCCTTATACAGATCCTTATCATACAACTAGGGATAACTTAAACACTGAAAGGAGGCAGCACCTCTTGTAATACCATTTCACATGAACGCTTAGTTTACCACTTAGTAACATCATAATGCGCTTTTTTAATGAAAGCAATAAGAATAGATTTTGAAATAAAGTCAATATTGAAGAGCAGGTAAATCACAAGAGGTTTAAAACAGCACTACACCTATTTTTCGTCAAGGTACCGCATAGCCAGTGATTCGTTTTCACAAATAAAGAGAAAATTTCTAAGTCCCTTCTCGGAAACTATGATCATTCAAAATAGAACCATGTATCGAACTTCTTTCGTTTGAAAATTATTTGGAGTGTTTCTTCACATTTTTGCTCAGGCAAGAAAGAGGGAGTAGTTAGATATAAAAAAAAAAGTAATATACATATTTTTTTAATAAAAATCCCTAAACGATACGCGTAGAGTGTAGGTTAGCAAAGGCTACTGCGTCATTATACAGAAGAAACCAAAAAAAGCTGCTAAGTGCTTTCATGCATATGATTCATAATGGATTCTTCACTTGAGTGGTTCAAGTATGCTTTCAATGAACGCCAGTTTTCTTTTCATTGTTTTGTTTTCAATATTACCGTTAATGTAGGGTCGTCGAGCAACGAAACCATCTGGCTTTTAAACTAGTTTTTACAAGAGGGTCTTGGAGGCACATTTCAAAGTCACCTAGCATCACTGGCTCAATCGTTACATATCATAACCGAAAACAACGTCGCTGTGGAAGACCAGCTTAAGGGAAAAAATGCCTGGAAAGATAAGGACATTGAAAACAAATTATTACTTAAAAAGCCAGGTTATCACGGAAATATTTTTTTGAATGTTGTTAATACTTTTTAAAACTACATTATCTTTCTAACATGTTTACATTTCTTTTTTTACTTCATTTTACGTTTACAAACCCATACAAAAGCCGCTTTTGCTTGACTTTCCTTATTTCTGATATTTTCGTCAGTTATAGAGAATTAAAGGCAGCTCTTTCGTGCGGTAAATTAAAACGACAAGGCTGATTAACTTGCGGTTCATATCAGACCTAACCTATGTACGTGGGGGTCCATGGTTCTGTACAAGATCCCTTACTTGATAATTGCACGAGTTCATTAGCATTTAAAATAGAAGTCGGTCATTTGCACGTAATGTGGGTTACTACTTCGAACAAACGTGGCTGCCAGGGAAAATCAGAAACACAAAAAGATAACGCTTGTTAATGAAAAAAAAAATTCTTGTTAAGATCGAATGAAGGTACAAATACACCAGAAAAACAGATAATGATAAAATTTTCCCCACGCCGTTTATCCTGTCAAGTTTCAAATGGATAGAAGAAGCTTGCCTTTCAAAAATTTCAAAGTCCTACGTTTCTTTAAACCTACAAAGTGTTTTTATGACTAAATTTATGACACATCGTCATTATCTGGGACACTGTGGTTCCCTGTTACACGCCTTTGTTCGTACGTGTCAATAACCGAAAAAAATATATATACAACATCAGGAGGGTTTCAACCTGCAAGTGATGCGGCCTTTGTTAATAATTGCACCTCTTGAGTATTGAGTTAACAGCTAAATCTGGTCGAAGTAAAATGGTGTTACAAAGTTAAGTTTATATCTATCAGTTAGGTAGCTGATTAAGAAATAAGTTAAACGTTTGCCTTCTTTTTATTATTTACGATCTACAGACATACTGATCATCGGATGGTACCTTTCAAGACCAGGAGGATTTACACCAGAAAAAATTCGTGCGCCCGTAAATCTTTGAAATGTTAGGGTGTCGCTCTGGCGCATTTTCTTTTTTTTCGACGGAATATGTTCAGATAGCATCCAATCCGATTATATATGTTTTTTTTTTTACGGCACAACTATCCCAGACTCAAAGAATTTGCAAACAGTTGAGAATAAGGATGATAATTGGACCCCTCAAAAACAGTATCTGTTAAATAACGACAATATACATTTTATCCAGATACATTAACAGAAAA